ATAAAGACACCTGTCTTTGTAATTTTATTTGTTGAGGATTTTTCTGGTGTACTGTACGATCATCTGCCACTGTGTAATATACTGTGCCGTACAATTTAGAATACAGCCGAATACAGAATAAGGTTAAAAATTGCAGCAGATTTTCTTACGTGTGTTTAGAGCAAATGAGATTTAACAAATTCAAACGCGTGTCATCCTATAACAAGTAAACTCAGGTAAATTCAAGTTTTTACTTGTTAGGACTAGGATCGGAATGAAATTAAAGCTTAACCGCCGTATACCAATAATGGGCTTTAAAAATACCATCTTAGTCACTAGAGGAGAAGGTGGTATTATGGAACACTGCGGGTATTATGGAACCACCTCATTTCGAACTGATAATAAAGGCCAACTGTAGCGGAATGTGGCTGAACTGAACTAGGCAGACATCCATAGCAAGGGGAAACCCCGTTTTACTTCAGTTAAACAGTTGTCCGTATTTAATCAGCAAATTTGTTTTTTTCAAAATTCGCAAGTTTTGAATGCTAAGTGAATTTAATTATTTTTAAAATATAAATCGTGTAGTTGTAGGTTCACTGGTGCATGTATTCCGTTCCAGAGACTTAGGAGTACATATTAATCTGTGTGATGTTCACGTTTTTTAAATTTTGGGCTCGACAGACATAAGTTAATTCGAGATGGCGATGCGTGAAATACGGACCCCATTGGTGCTTTTACAGTAATATGGAACTCAACTCCTCCGAACTCTCTCTTTGCAATCAGACATTCGTCCAGAGCAATTTGGGAAAAAGACACTAGGTAAAAAGTCTGAAAATATCGAAAAAGAACTGCTGGAATATAACTTATATTGTTGATGGAGGTCATATTTTTCTATTATAAAAGCATTTTTGCGATAAAATACATTGGAGTAAATAATTTTGTAATTATTTAACATTTTTTGTCCTTTCCTACTTGTTTTTGGCATTTACATTAAAGCATTTTTTTGAAAATATACAATAAGGTTCCATATTATCACCCGATTTTCTCTAAGCCTACTTTCGGACTTTTTGTACAAAAGCCTTCAAAAACCATACTTATAATTACACTAGCGAAAAATCCAATTAGGAACATTTAGTTTACTAGTTACCAGTACTTTTCGCACAAAAAAATGTGGGTGTAGTCATGATACCTTGTTTACAATTCACTAAAATGTAATTGGTAAAATGTAATTGGGGTTCCATAATACCACCTTCTCCTCTACAGGATGGAGCGAGTAAAATAAAGAAGAAAGCTTTCTTTGACGTAATTGTATTCAATTTTTATTAATGATTATACTCGAGTCGTGTATTCCAAGAAAGATTCAACTCCACAAGTTTCTTTTTGGAAAATAAAACTTTTTACATTTTAAGAATTAGACTAATTACTTAAACATTTTAAAAAAATATACATTTTCATATTTATGATCGACGTATACATGTATAACACACTCACTTTTAAAAGCAAACAAAAAAATAATTGATAATGGAAATTTTGGGCCTGTTTTGAAATCCGACACTAACAAATAAGTTCAAAATACAAACATAATGCACTGATCAAAACAATTAGCGGAGCACGTGACTGCTCTAATCGAGGAGTGACAAAGAACATCATCGATTCGATTCCATATTACACAGATGTGCAGCAGTTTTGGATCATACAACCGGCTAAAGTCAGCACAATACCCTGTATTTACTGGCAATTTAACCTAGCTGCAAAGTATGTCTTAAGATAAGATTAGGAGAAATTATTTTAATTAGATGATTAAAAATCTCCTATGATGTATAAATGTTTTTAGCTGAAATCAGTACTTTACCTTTAAAAGTTGGTTATTGATAAGCCATGTGATTTTCATAGACAGTTCTTCTGTATTTTATTTATTTAAATAGATTTTCTATATAGAGAAATGTTAATTTGCATTTTTGTATCATGATTTAATTAATCATCCGTATTCTCGTGTTAATAATTAATGTTTATAGGAATATATATTTGCATTTTCATCATAACAGTATTAATTTTTATTTCATTTGAAATTTCTTTTAAATTGTTGTCAAATTAAAATGCCTTTAGATTAACTTTCGTGTAGGTCTAACTTTTGACTTCAACGTTTTCAGTGTTTCCAAGTGTGTAAAATTGCATAGAAATTAATAGAAAATAAACTTTTAAATAGTAGAAAAAGATACAAATCCAGTAATTTATAAAATTATGTTACTTGAGTAATAAATACAAACCGAAGTTTGACCGACCTGTAATAGATATGAAGATAAAGAAAGGTCTTGACACTTGGTACGGTCGAAAGAGTTAAAAGGAAATGAATAATTAGTTAAATTCTTAATTTTAATTATTGAAGATGATGCTTTATAACTGGGGCAATTTTTAACAACTTTTAAGTGAATTTTTTAAAATAAATATAAAAAATATAAATACGACTTTACAAAGATAAAACTTTGCATTTTGTCCTTCCTTTTCGCCGTCCTTTTAAGTGAATATTTATTATATAATTAAAGCCAAAAGTGAAAACGAAACACAAGAGCCGGAAAAAGAAAAGAAAATAACAAATGATCTCTTTCACTTTTAAAGATGAATGCAATTTCTGTTTATAATCAATATTATAAACAGAAATTACGACAAAAATTTGTCACTGCACTATCAGTTAACATCTTTGAGAAGAGAAAGAGCTCATTTGTTATTTTTCCTTCTTTTTCCGGCTCTTGAGTTTCGTTTTCGCATTTGGTTTTAATTATATAATAAATATTCACTTAAAAGTTGTTAAAAATTGCCACAGTCATAAAGCATCAACTACAATAATTAGAATTAAGAATTTGGCTAATTAGTTATTTCCTTTTAACGCTTTTTACCGTGAAAGTGTTAAAATAGCCAAAAACAAACTATAATTTCCGGTCCATCGATCAAATGAATTAAGCGACGTCGTATCAGTTGACTGTTACAATCTAAAAGAGAACTAAAAATAAAATAGAAGCGTGCAAAAATTCCAATTCTCGCCGGAACAGCAACGACAATTATTCTTATTTATCTAAATTCAATTATGCAATATATTACGATTTTCTATAAAAATATCGAATAATATGTCATTTTATTTTATATTTAATATTATCTTTAATACAGTCGTTATTCAGTCAAACGAGTGCCAAAATTGTGCTATTTCTCAAGGTTTCTGTTTAATAAAGTGAACTTACTTTTGTAAGTTCACTTTATTAATTTAAGACTTGTCATTTTTTGTAGTTATGACCATTAATTTTAACTTGTTTTTTTTTTGTATTTTTTTAGCAAGAGAAAAGGGTCTTACCTCTTTCAAAATCGGCTGAATCAGAACATTAATTTTAACCGCGAAGTGCTCCCAAAGAGATATAATTAACATTACTGATGTTTCAAAGTGAGCTGTGATTAGAGTTGGCATAAGTTCAAAATCAGAAATCGAAGCATTGTAACGTCGCATTATGTTAAAAATTGATGGATACCCAGTATTAGGGAGTAGCTCCTCAGGAAAACAAACTAATGATTTTAATTAAACTAATTTTATTGAATCATTTTTTAATTATTTGTTGAACCAACCGTACTTGTTTGACTTACATATATTAACTAAGTGTTTGTTGGAAATCCGGCCGTGGTCTATTATGGGACTGGCCACCTGGCTGCCGCCATTGTTGACCTTGCTGAATTCATCATAGACATGATTAAAACTAAGATTCTCTTAGTGCCTGCAACATGGAAAGAATCAAAAAGCGCTAAACTATGGGATATGACGTAACTATTAATTTATCGTTAATGATTGCATGAAGTCAACGATGGTTTAAAAGCTACTATACAGCACTTCACAAGACAAATAGAACGAGACACGTGCATCACAGATTTCTCAAGTCTTGACAGTGAAGCCATATCGGTAATCCTAACGTAAAATGATCTAATATTAATATTTAATATATCTATAATTTATTTGTATTGTATGATATTTATGATGAAAAAAAAGTGATAAGAATCACAACTAATAACTTTAAAACATTATTGTTTACTTTTTAAAACATGTTTTAAATACTGTACTGAGTAGATGTGGAATTTTCTTCACTCAGCATTAATAATAAATTAATAAGACAACAAACTTCAACCTGTTTACTCTTTTATTGAGAATAACTTTCTTATTGATCTTTAAATTGAAACGAACACATACTAGTGAAGTATAATCAATATACTTTTCCTTTGGAAAAAGTTTTATTATCCCTGAGCGTATTAATTAAATCGTTACATTACTAAATAAACCAACAGGTGTAATGTAATCATATTTGATATTTTTTACACTTTTGCCTATATCTTACTGACTTTACAGTGTATTCAACGAAACGTTTATTATAAAATAATACATCAATAAAGCATATAAATACCTTGAAATACTTTGAACAAAGATCAGATGTTGAAGATGGCTGCCAATTTTCTTGACGAACAAGCTTCTTCGTATCTATACATTTCCAAAACCTTTTTGTGGATCTTTAGGAAGTCTGACGTTTTTTATATATGTACCAACATAAAGAAGTTACATTTAATTTTAAAAATTATGTATCGGCAAAACAACGAGTTATTCTCAAAATCACATACGATATGCACATCATATTTTAGTTTTCGATTTTATTTATTTTTTGTGTAGCAAAACTTTCATTTTATTATCTTTAATAGCACTCGAGATATTAATATAAACATTAATTTGGACAAGAAATGTTTAAATTGGTTTGTATTAACAATAACACGTGCTACTATAATTATTTCTGTAAATAACATAAGTAAATTGGATGCATTAACTTTGATCATTGTGTGTTAGGGAGTAGCAAGATTTCTTTGTTGTTTACGAAGCCCCCGAACTAAACACGCGTAATTTCTCGTGTTAATATTTGTTTTGATTCTTTTCGGACTATTATATTATTACTAAACTTATTCTAACGTTGTTCAATCGTTCGAATTATTCAATTATACCCATTACGTTCATACATACAGGTCTTTAAGCTTCGTTTGGTTATTGGTCCTTTAACGTTCTCACGTGACTAAAATTGTTGATATAAGTAGGAGTGAAATTTGTACAGAGAAAGAGAAAACATTCTGGGTTAGCATCTTAATTCAGTAAGTTGAAACAATTCTTTCTTATACTAATTGTAAATCGGTTAATTAAAATTCATTTTAAAAATATATAAAGTTAACTTAATACTTGAACTATCGATCGAGTAAAAAGTCAAATTTACTGATGTATAAATCTGGTTACTACTGACACTTACTACGGTATAAGAGATTATTCAGCAATCTTAAGATTATTAGGATATAATTTACTATGACGTTCATAAGATTTATTTTAGTTTGTATAAGTATCGCATTTCCTTTCGAATAAATAAGGCTGTTATTTGAAATAATTTCAATATCTAATTGTAATTAAAGTTAAATTACGAATTAAATTATATTTTCACTATATTATTTCGAAATTCTATGTATCTTATTGCCAGTTCAATGAGATATTTTGTTAGGTTAGTCTGTGCGAAGTTATTGTAATGTAAGTTAAGATTATAAATGGGGAAAATACAAAATATATTCTGTATTTTTTTAATTTTTTTTTTCTTAAACTTTTTAAAATTACACAAACGATAATTGTAACGTAGAAGAAATCGAAACTTATTACATCATTTTTCATTTTTATCTTGTTTATATTAGTCAAATCAGTTGATGTGTCATCTATTAGATGTTTTTTTAACTTACAAAATGTAATATTTCAAAGAGCAGGAGATTACCTCCCCCAAACAAAAATCTCCTAGATAAAAGTAATAACATTAAGTAGAAAAAAATGGTAAATTATAAATAACAGAAAATAAAGACAAAATGTTTTAAATCGAAATAGATGCCACAGTTTAGAACTTTTTTACGAATTAAATAAAACTTATATAATTTATATTTAATGATCATTTTTAGGCATATTCTGATTAAACACGTAAAATTTTCGAGGATCCGAAATCCTCAAAACTTCAAAATAATAGGCTATCTAAAAAATATATATATATATATATTAAATAGTTATAATTTGAATATAATTTTGCTAAGAAATGTGTTGTGAACTACAGTAGAAGTTCGTTAATTCGGCACCTACGAAATTAGAATGGTGCGGAATTTCAGATTATCGAAAATAATGGATTATCAAACGTTTTCAATATTTTCGCAAGATTCTATAAGTATATATGAGATTTGAACGTTGCAGACATAGTTAAGTAATTTGTACCAGCGTGTACTGGTAGAAACGTACAGCAATATCTGACCTGACATAAGTTGCTGCAAAAAAATAAGTCATTTTTTGATCATATCGTTCTCGATACTCTCATGTAGCAACGTACTGTACTGTACATCCAATCTTCTCGATTTCGGCCCTAGGTCTTTAAGCGCACCACGAGTTCAAACAAATTTCGATTTGGATTATTCGACTTGCATACCGGATAATTTCAGATTATTGTCTACTTTTCTACAGTGACGAATTAACGCATTTAAAAAAATGTGATTAAATTCAAACTAAATTAGATCCAAAGATAAATTTACCAGTATGAAAATTATAGTTAACAATCTGAAGGTAATTACGAAATAGATTGTAAGTTTATAATTTATTAATATAAATATGTATTTCATTACCGGTACTATAATTATCATTACTTCTTTAACTTTTTATTTACAGTTTTGATTTGATAATTTGATAAATTAAAAAAATTAAATTTAAATATTTTTAATTTTAATAAATAAATAAAATTTAGAGGAATTTCTTTTTAATAACAAATAATTTCTTTAAAATCCAGACAATATACTATCAAATATATTTAAAAAATTGTATTTAAAATATATTTAAAATATCTAAATAGAGTAAATAAAGAGTAAATATTATTGTAATGTTATTACTTTAATCTATGGGTTTTTGTTTGGGGGAGGTAATTTCCTGCTCTTTGAAATATTACATTTTGTAAGTTAAAAAAAAAAAAATACATTACTTGAATACTGAGCAATTTTTATACTTGTAGGTTTATTTTAGTTTTAAAAGTTGCTTCCCGTCTGTTTGACGTGGGAATTAATGATCGTAGATTTATGTCAACCACGCTCGAGTTTAAAAAAAGCAAAGCATCGCATAACCAACAGCTTTATTTTGGTTCAATTCATCGTTACAGTTGAGAATTCTGCGAGAATGAAATATGAGAAAACAGAAAGATAAGAAGGAAATACACCTGCAAAAACAAACACAGCTGCAAATAGGATGCGAAAAGTCTAAATGTTCTCTCTCTGTGACATTGAATTAGCTTGTAAGATCATATATAGAATGACTTTTTTACTTAATAATTCAACAATATCAGTCTGTTGCAATTCTATTTTGTTATTATAATCTGGACTGATGGTGTCTAGTCAAATGCCATTATAATCAGAGATTAAACTGAGGGATTAAACTGTGTTTGTTTAATTTTATTAAATCGAATTATTTAATTTAAGAATATCAGAAATATTAGCCTAATCATTAATTTATGATTTCGTGTTGCTTTTTTTATCCGTTGTCAAAGTAATATCGAGAAACTTTAATTTCAAATTAACAATGCAATAGACTTCATAATAATCTTAAGCAGAAATTACGGTGCTGTTTTTTTCTTTGTATGCATGTTTAATATTCAAAATCTTAGTTACATGTTTGTAAGAATATTGTGGAGAATATTTACTAGCTAGTTTGTTATATTTGAGATGTTAGAGCTAAGAAACTACAATGATATAAAATAGTGAAATTTTGATTTCATTTATTCAGTTATTTAAATATAATGGTAATGCTACGAGTCAATTAAAAATAACAAAAGAATTCATTAAAAATAAATCAATGAAAATAAAAACAATGACGAAACCAAATTAAGTGATTATAAGAAAGCAATATATTTGTAATTTTCAAAGAAAAATTTTTAAAAGTCATCAATATTATCTACCAGAAGGTAGTAGGATTGATAGTTATTACACAACGCAATACGTGGGTGGTCTGTCAAGGGAAAGATGCTTCCCGGGAGGTCTTTTATGGGAAATTGGCCTCTATTTAGACGAAGAAAACACGACCCGTTCGTCAACAAGGCGCGAACACGCGACCGTTCACTGGTTGTGTTCACTCGACCACCGATGGACACTTAATATTGAATGTACAGTATTATACTAGAATTTATAGTAGGCCTATACGGTATTTTTACGGGTAATTTTTTCTAAATATTTTATTTGTGCCAAATATCTAGAGTTTAAATTAATTCTGAGCAGAGGAAAATTTATACATTTTTTCATTGTGATTTAATCTTTTAGAAAAACCTTAAAAGTAATAAATGAAAACCACTTTAAAAAGTGTAAATTTCGTCTATTAAAATTCATTAATATGCTTCATTTAGAGAAAGATAAAAAATTTTGGGATATTGTAACTTTCACTTTATTAAGCGAATGTTGTTTATGTGATGACAAGATGGATAAGATATTTATGTATATGTAAATTTGAATTTTTTTCTTAAAAAGAAAAATGTTACCAAAATATTTCCTTTGTCTTCTTACTAAACTGAAGTAATATTCTGAACTTATATTTATTATAGGCCTATTGTATGTTATTTAATAATTGGTAACCTAATATTTAATGAAAATATTCCCATTTGTTCTACTAATTCATGAAAATTTTATTTTTGTAAGTTATTAATGCTCTTATATAAATTCTAAATATTAACAGTTTATCAAAAAGTCTTTTATTTATTTAATAATCACGTTAAAAATTATTTTAAATAAATTTTCTATATGTTATTTTTAAATTCTGCGAATTGGAATTCGATCTAAAATATGCAGTTTAACATATCCGAGTATGTCTTATTTTTAATTATTACTGAATTGAATTAGAAATCTTACAGTTTGAGACTGCAAAAATATAAATTAGGACTACTACTAAATGCTCTCAGTGTAAACGGTCTTATTCTTCTAGTTTTCTAGATAATTTAGAACTAAGTCGTGTATTGATAAGTCTTGCTTATGCAATCTCTAAGAAGATAAATACGTATGTTGTTGAATATTGCCTTAAAATTAAAACTAACAAGTAACCGAGCACTTTTGGTCTTTTGACACACAAAAAGTCTTGAAATCATTCAAGTTATAAAAAAAATAAGTAAAAATCAATGTCATTACGACAGTGAAAAGCTTGACAAAGTAAATCTTGTTCATTCAATCTTTAAACTTAGAATAAATGCTATTAAATTATTTTCAAAATAATATGATTTTTTAGTTTAAAAAAATATAATTTTGATTTTCTGTTGTAAATAGTTCGTATACAGTATTTTATATTGATAGAATAATATGGAGCAAAATTATATATGAAGATAACAGATGGACGTAGGGAAAAATCTGGAAAAACGAAATTTTTTAGGAATTTCGTATCTACTTTTATTGAATGCAAAAGAAAACAGGAATTTATAAAATTATAAAATTGATGTGATTAAGATTTAATTTTGACTTCATGAATGAGTCTTTTTAATGACTTCGTTTTTAGAATAACTTTAATAAATATCAATTTTTATTTTTATACAGGATTTCGAATATATTAAAATCGAAAAATGAAGTTGTGTATAATATTTCTGATGTCACTGCTTACACAAATATTCGGTTTACTACATCGTTGTCCTCATGTGAAGCATTTTCCCGAAGAACAACTGAAACAACATAAAGCTAATTTTTTTAATTTTTGTGATTGTCAGAAGCATCAAAACAGCAGCGTTTTTGTAACTTGTCAAGGCTTAAAAACTAGAGAAAATTTAACAATGGCATTAAATTTTCTTCGTGGATATTTTATAGACGAACTTACAATCAGAAGAAGTTCTTCTTTACATTTGACAGCCGGCACATTTAAAGGTTTACATATTCATAAATTAATATTTGACGATACCCGTTTTGAAACACTCATTCTGTTTTCGGCATTCAAAGGTTTAGAATTCGAATTATACGAATTGAACTTTTTAAAATGTAGAATTAATAATATTGTTTTTCAAAAAGGAATTCAGTTTACGTACATGAATACATTAATATTTGAAAAGACTAACTTACTTCCAAAAATGAACGATAATATATTTAAAAAATTCCCATCGAAATTACGAAATTTGAAAATAACCGGTTGTAATGTTCAAGAATTTGGAAACCAAGCTTTAAAAAAATTTTCTCACTTGGAAACAGTTGATCTTGGTGAAAATCATTTGACAAAAATTTCTCGATCCATGTTTCCCAGACCAGCCAGGAGATTAAGATATCTCTCTCTCACGTAAGTCAATTTGGAAAATTTTCTCATGTTCTTTTGTGTTTGGGAAAATAAACAGTAGCATTGTTAATGTCGAGTCAAAATTAATTTTGAATGCATTTTTAGTACTTTTTTTATTTACTTTTTAGGAGTAATCCAATTACTGAACTTCCTGATGATTTGTTTGAAAATATGGAACGATTAGAATTTCTTCTGCTTTCGGATACTCGGATTTCTGTTTTATCAAATAATACATTCTTTCCTGTTTGGCAACAACTAGAAGAAGTTTATATGAATAGTAAGTAACGAAATATAATTTTTAACAAATCATTTTGTTTGACTGATTATTTTTACATTACTTTGAAGCTGAATTATTTTTTTACCGTAATATCTTATATAATCTTAGTTTTATAAAGTTCAGCAAATAAATTCTAAATGCTTAATTTACTAAAGCGTGTGTAAGCAGGGGATAGTAAGTAGGAACAATAGTCAATATATTAATGACGGCTGACCAATACGCCTTTCCTCGCACGGTTTCGTTTATAAGCTATACTTATGCACTTACGTGTAACGTTGACCTTTGAAACTTAAACATCTCACCTGTGAATAAGCCTTGATTTCAAAATGAAATGAAACTACTGTAGTTATATTTCATTACCTATTGCATGAAATCATAATGTTCAAGTAGTAATGCAATTTTTTCGTAGTGGAAGGGCGTAACAATTTCCATTGAATCATTACGTGACAAAGAGATTAAGAATTGAATTGCAGTCCAGAAAACATTGTTTAGTCTAACGTAACAGGTAAGTTTTAGTCTGTACCTGTGTGGTATTAAATAAGGCATTGATTCCATCATGCCAAACAAACAGGAAATATTGGCGAGGAAAAAATATATTATCTTCAAAAGGACAAGAATTATATTAAAGAAAACTATTTCATGTATTAATTCTTATTTGTATTCAAGTTAATTTTTGACAGACAGGTTAATTCATTTAACTAAAAATTATTTAATAGTATTTTTAATAAAATGAATTTATGGGAGTGATTCTTTCCTCGAAGTATAGAATAAAAATACTATTATATAATGTATTATTGTAATGCTGTATTTATTGTATTTTTAAATATAAAAATGAAAAAGGTTTTGGATAAAAGAATAGATTGAATTTGTTAGAAAATATTTCAGTTTAATATACGGCATTTCTTATAATCTTTATTGGACTGCAATTTGAAAAAATTGTAGACCTACCGTATTTTCGCGGAATGACCGGCATGTCGCATATAAACGGGGGAGACCAGCATGCCTGAAACCCCAAGATTAACGGCATACAGGTTAAACTGCGACTAAAATATAAAATTAATCAGATCTAACAAAATTAGTTGCTAATTACGCGTTGAAGAAAACATTCTTTCAAGTACAATAAAATATTAACATTGCAGTTTGACCGACTACAAAACAATAAAACAATTAACGACTTAGTATAGTAGTAGTAGTAGTGAGCTACACTGACCATCTATCCCTTAATCTTGAGAACGGAGTTAGATAGATGAAAGCTGAGACCACACATGGAAAGCTTAGGGATACGAGGCCCGATTAACTAGTGTATATACCAACTTCCGACTTGTACCAGAAGTCACGTTATTTCAATTCACAAATTTTCCCTCAAAGGAGCTAGACAGATGACCGGCACTACTCGATTGCTAGCAGGAAGAGTATGATGTACAGGAGTAAGCCACTACTAATTTAAGGTGGAGAGCATATATTTTAAATTAAATAAATTTTAATAAATATGATTAAAAATTGCAACCCGGCATTGTGACGATGTAACAATAAATAATTACTCGTCTCTGTTTTTTTATATTATTGTACTCAACAGATTTTTATTTTCTTCTACAGATGTAAAACTCAATTGTGACTGCAACATTTTGTGGATGTTGGAAAAATCTGATGCCAGTATTATAAAGAAACCGTTTTGTATATCGCACAACAGAGGTTTGAATGACATTAGAAACCCCAATGAGATTTGTCCTCCGAGAAGAACCAGAAAGATTTAAAATAAATATCTTTTAAAACTACAAAACTATAAGCTGTATATGATTTGATTCTCTTTATTCATAAATAAGTGAATAATAAAATAACTTTATTCATAATCAATTAATTTTTTTATAATAAATTGTCGGTTAATCACTGTTATTATAGGCCTATATCTTTGATAATTTGTGTATCTAGTTAAAATAAAAATACATCTCTTAAGAATTTGTGATATTTTGATACAAAACTTTAAATCGAATTAATTTAATTAATATTATAACACTAATAAAAAAAATATTTTTTGAAATGAAAGTTACCAATAATCAAATCATTAACATGCGTTATAATTTCAAAAGTTTAATATAGTAATAGGACAGTTAAATTTTATATTAATTCAATTATAAATAAAAGACTTAAAAATTTTTAAAAAGATTTAAAAATGGTTTAAAAATTAAAATATACAGGTTAGAGAATGTTCATTTTAACATTTATCTAAACAGAAAAGATCTTTCCATCAAAGCACGAGTTTATGTATAAGGTATTATTTCTACTGCGATGATTACAGTAAAATTAATAAATAAATTCGTTCAAAAAGAAAATCTTATTACACCAAGCGACCAATCTAACGCATTTTAAAAATTCTTTAAATTATGTACAGTAGAGAAAAAAATTTCTAAAATGTGTTAGATCGGTCACTCGGTGTCATAAACCCTTAAGTAAGAAAACATTGGTAATTATATAAATCAAATACTATGATATAACAAATATAGCCTACTATTGTCATGTTTATCGCGATACTCGGATGATACGAAATGGAGCAATTTCATTGGTCAAGTAGACACTAAGTAGACATTATTCATTTCCAAATATCAAATGGTGATCTTTCAACGAATCAAATTTCTCGAAAAATGGGCCAAATATTTAAACTCGGCACCCTGGAAAATCACTTATTATTATACCAATCATATTTTGTGCAAGGCTGGTAACCTCGTATTATGTAATTTTCTTATTCGAAGGCCACCGTACTGATGGGTTCTACAGGAAGAAGGGCTGCAACAGTCTATCGGACCTTTTCTTCCTTCTTTTGTTACAGATGGAGATTGAAAGTTAAGTATAGACGTATAAGTTCCCTCTGGTGTCCGTCTATCTGTGTGTCCTTTCTTAATTTGGAGAAAGAACTTAGATACGTAGATGAAAGTCGAATAGTTTAATAATAATTAATCTTTGTACATTAAACTCACCCTATTATACCTACATAAATTAGTGCATGCAATACTCCAACTACTAACAATGAAAGCCAGTAACGATTTATGATTGTTATATTAAGTTAATAATAGTAGCTTAGAATATTAATGAAACTATGTCAAGAATTAAATATTCCGATTAAATTGAACTCAATATTCCACAGGAAAATCCAAGCAAAGCAAAATATACAAGCTAGTTATCTTCATACCGGGCCCTCCAGGAACCCTGGCCCCTGACTAGGGTCAGTCACTACCATGTGGGGGTCATGTACTCAAATATTAATAACAAAATACTTTAAAGAAATGAATTAAAGTAAATATATAAATATTAATTAATTGGTAATGTTTATAGTTTTCGTTCGTAAAATAAAAATACGGATCGGAATGGTCATAATTACAAATTATTATATTGGTAAAATAATATATTTATATATTAAAATCATTAGTTTTAACAATAACGTAGAACTTGCACGAGACTCGGGGATAGTGGTCTTCTTCATCCACAAATCGAACTTCCGGCTATTGGAAATATAATGCTGTAAAATCATATGAATAGTGGACTGATGAAGAGTGAGTGTTATTTTTTGGGACACCCAGTATAATAATTATATTTAAAATGGAAATTCTCGAATTAGAAAATAACCGAAGACAAGATATTATATTAAAAAAGCTAGACTGAAACATATGGAGTCATTATAGCAGCTAAATCACTAATAGATTTTAAAGACACATGACACGCAGGCACAGTACATCAGTAGCGCATTATCCTACGGGAAAAAAGGGCAATTGCCCGAGGTTCCCACCAACAGGGACCTCTAAACCAATCTTCTATAAGCAGATATTTCCTCCAAAACATTACCCAAAGAAAAATGCCTGAAGTCAACACTGTACACGAAACCCCTAACTTAAATTTTCCTTGGCACCACGAAGCTATAACGCTCCACCGATATACCGTAATGTTGTCAATGCCTAGCTTTAACCAGTCTGATAATTAGCACGTGGTATTAGCCAGTCCGATGATTAGAAATTCTGTTAATGAGATTTTCCAAGATGGACAATTAGAAGGTTGCGGCCGAAGTTTTCATCTCTAAAACGTGAACGTCGAACTTCGAACGTCGAGCGCCGCTGTCTTGTAAGCGCCGCTCGGAGTTCGACGTTCACGAAAACTTCGGCCGCAACTTCGCTATTATCTATTGTGACTTCTACACAATGCCGGGCTACAATTTTTATTCTATCTAATTTAAAATATATGCTCTCCGCCACAAATTACTACTGGCGTATGATATTCAAATATTTTTCCCCCCAAGGAATTCTTTATCCACATTTTCTTAGGATTCACGCACGTTGCTAATTTATTAAAATTGAATAAGCGAAATTTATTTTATTCGGCGAAATGTAAAAATTTTTAATTTAAAATAAATTAATATTTTGATTTATTAATACTTTAAGATGCTACATTTTATTTAACGGAATTTGGCACGGCCGGCATTTGGCAGAAACATTCGAGCGAATGTTATCACGTGGAAAGATAGAAGAAAATGAATTTCGATTCTTCAAATTTACCGTCTTCGTCCACCGACAAGGAATTACAGGAGTTTCTGCTTATCACAGAACAGAAAGTTCAATTTCAAGCTCAAGTGCGTGTTATATTAAATCTTTACGTGTTAACAATTAATAATTACATTAAATGGCGGTGGAAAAGTAGCGAGTTTTGATGTTCTACTAAAGAATTTTGAATTATTATTCATATATATCGATATTAAATATGTTTTGTTAAGATGATATGTCTTTCAAAGTGTATTGCTGTCCTTACTGTTGATATTTTTTAAATTAATAATCTTTTAAAATTAGAAATGGGTAGAAATTACTTGGTTATGATCTAAAAGTAATCTTTACAAAGCATGGTAATTGTTCATAATTGTCTTTTAATGTAAACATTATTTTGAGAAGAGGATACTACTAAGTCTTGACATATAATGGAAGAGATTACCAATATTAAGTAGAACTTGGCATTGCTAGTGCATGCTAGTAAACAATGCATGTATGTGTATTGTCTACACATGCAACAGTTTCCTAATAAAGATATTGTTTGATACTATTCTGTCAATTTGGTGTGTCTTTTTTGTTAGTAAGTAAATATAAATTGCTCTACAGACTAGCAATAAGCAAGTTCTCAAAGAAATTGTTTTAAAAATTTTTTAGAGAGAGACTAATCATAACCTAATTAATATGGAATGAGATCATAAATAATTTTGCAATATTTGATAAATAGCTTATTTTATGTGTCTATGGTAAATAATAACAGTAAAAAATATTTGTAAAAATAATTTTTATAATTTATATCTGCAGTTCTGTCATATGATGCATTGTGCATATGTAAAATTATGTTAATTTGTTACAAAAATAATGATTAGATCAGGGGGTATCCAACCTTTTTGTTTCTCTGGGTTGCATTGGAAGAAGTCATGGAGTTTTGGGCCACAGATATATACTTGTGGCCTAATATACAAGTATATTTAAGGATTTACATGTCTAGATTATAGTAATAGGTATTAAAACTTTATCATGAAAAAAGATATTTTAAAAAATTACTTCTACAGACACTTTCAATTTTTACTTAGGAATAGATAAATTCATTTATTATAAAAGAGACAAGCGAAAATTTATTTTAAAAACACAAATATTTGTTTTATTTGGGTCTCTAATTAATAAAAAGTGACGAAACACCATTTTAAAGTGCATTTTTATTCAACTAATATATTTATAAATAATATGTAGCCCAAAAAGTAGCCAAAGTGCCAAATGATATTTTTTACTTCAAACTAAAAAAAAGTAGCCACATTTGGCACAATGTAGACTAATCTTGCAATGCTGGAAGAAATACTAAATAAAGCTAGAGTTGTGACTCAAAGGATTATAGACGTAAATGTGGGGAAAGGAGAGAAAGGACAAAAGATAAAGAAGTGAGAAAAGTTGGAAAATTAAGGGTCACTATTTGCATAACAGAAGATTTATTTAACCTTACTACTATTTAAATTTTGTCCTTTCCTTTCCCAAATTTGGGTCTATAATCCTTTGAGTCACAACTCCAGCTTTATTTAGTAATCCTTCCTCATTCACACATATCCAAGTATTTGAAAATATTTCCTTTCCACTCAAAAATAAAATATGAATAAAGGTTTATGGCTTTGTGAAACTTCTTTTTTGAGTTTATGCTGTTGAAATAAATAAATAAATTAATTTAAACATTTGTCGGTTTTGTTTGCATGTTTATTGGGCCGCATGTTGGACACCCCTGATTTAGATAATGAAATAATGAAAATTAGATAAAAATGATTTTTTTTTATCTTATTAATTTTTTATAAATAGATATTATAATTTGATATGCCATTGACCTTATTTAAAATTGGTATTCTGTTATGTAAACATTTTTATTATTTCTGGCTTAAGTTAAACTACAGTGGAACCCTGGTTAACGAACTTAATCCGTTCTGCAACTCTATTCGTTAACTGAATTATTTGTTAACCGAAGCAATTTTTTCCGTAGAAATTAATGCAAATGCAAGTAATTCGTTCTAGTCTCCGAAATTTTTGTGATTTTATTTGTAATATACAGTAATTTTCTTTGATGAAAACGTAGTATCTATCATTACAGCAACAAACATGTAAACTTTGTTTAATAAAATAGCACTGCACATACCTTCGTTTGTTGTAGTTGGTGGCAGAAAAATGGAGATATACAAACCTTAATGCTTAGAAGGGGAATCCCCTCCAAAAAATTAACGGGTAGCACTTCATCGGAAGATTCTTCAAGTTGAAGTCTCTTTCGGTAAAAAAAAAAAAAAAGAGACCATTTACCAGTGGCTAAGTGGTCTTTGTACCTTGAACACGGGGAGTTTGTTCATGGGTTCGCACCTTGCTCAGACGGGCTGGCCATGTGGAGTTTTCTGGGTTTTCTCCATGTCTGTAATGCCTAAATAGGGGCCAGTTTCCCTTAAAAATACATCCCAGAAGGCATTCCCCCTAGGCAGATCGCCCAAGTCAACACTTGGGTGATCTGCCTAGGGGGATCTGTTTGTTAAGTTATTGTGTTGCCATAATTTAACAAACAAACAAACTCTTTCCGTAAGGAACAAGAAACTGATCCAAAGCTGATTGTCTTACTCTTTTAATCAAAATTTTTCTCAAATGCGATAGCGCATTGTCGTTTATATTGCGTTGTTGTTTTCTATTGCCACTGTGACTTTTTTTTTTCTTGGATGCCATATTGATTAATTAAATATATAAATCACAAAACTGAAAAAAGAAGTATAGCACAAACACTCGGAAAAGCAATGCTTAACTCGTGCATGCCTAACACCAACTAAAATTTGACACAAAATACCATTACGTTCATTATCCGAATTTTGTTCGTTATTCGAGACAAAATTTTTGCAAAATAAAAGTTCGTTAACTGGGGTTCCACTGTATTTATAGAATTTTATGCACTGCATGTTTTATCTTCCAATTTTTCTGTTAAAAAATTAAAAAGAACTACAAAGAACTATATTTCAGATTTACTGTAATATATTTAATAATTAGAAATTAAATTGTAATTTATAATTTTAATATGTAGTAGTAGTGGTAGTAGTAGTAGTAGTAGTAGTAGTAGTAGTAGTAATTAATTGACAATTAATTTGAAAATCTAACTGATGTCTGTTGGGATAAATGTATCGACAAACCTGGATCAAAACTCGATGGACGAATGGAAGCGTGTCTGACAAATTGTGTGGAATATTTCATTTAAAATATAAATTATATTTTTCTGAAAACTTAAAAACCTGTACAACCTATATAGAAGCAAGCAATTTAAGGCAAAAAAATAAGATATTTGTGAACTACATACTTGGAACTTATCTGTTCAGGTCATATCATTATATCAGTTTTTATATTCTGTTTTGTAGAATTAATTGGAATAACTTTAGAAATAATAAAATGATTTTAAGAAATTTTTTGTAAATTACATAATTATCTTTATATGTAATTTTTAATCAATTTGGAAATAAATATTATCTTAATATTCTACAGGTACATAATCTAACTGATGTCTGTTGGGATAAATGTATCGACAAACCTGGATCAAAACTCGATGGACGAATGGAAGCGTGTCTGACAAATTGTGTGGAATATTTCATTTAAAATATAAATTATATTTTTCTGAAAACTTAAAAACCTGTACAACCTATATAGAAGCAAGCAATTTAAGGCAAAAAAATAAGATATTTGTGAACTACATACTTGGAACTTATCTGTTCAGGTCATATCATTATATCAGTTTTTATATTCTGTTTTGTAGAATTAATTGGAATAACTTTAGAAATAATAAAATGATTTTAAGAAATTTTTTGTAAATTACATAATTATCTTTATATGTAATTTTTAATCAATTTGGAAATAAATATTATCTTAATATTCTACAGGTACATAATCTAACTGATGTCTGTTGGGATAAATGTATCGACAAACCTGGATCAAAACTCGATGGACGAACGGAAGCGTGTCTGACAAATTGTGTGGAACGTTTCATCGACACGTCCATGATCATCACAAAACGCTTTGCTCATTTATTGCAAAGATCTATAGAGCATTCGTGACAAAAGTTTTATTTAGTGAACTAATGTAAAATATTTTAGCAAAATGTTTAATTCTGAAATCTATATTTTGAATGTAAAATTATACATTTATTACAATATATGTTTTAATAATTATTTCTTTAGAATAAAGTAACTCTTGAAAATTATATCTTAGCTACTAATTTTAATTTTATTAAAATTATAGTATTAATGTATATTCAAATAGTTGATTGTTATAGAAATAAGATTATGATGCATTTAAATGAACAAGACAGTATTATTAAAATTAATAGTTTATGCTTTGTAGAATTTTATGAAACAATTATGATTTTAAATAATTTACTCAATAACAAAGTATATTTGTAATGTTAAATTCTTATTTAATAAATATATATATAAAGATAAGATTATAAATAAATCAAAAATTGTAAAAATGCTTATGTTTTTGTCATGCTGTTGTAAGAGATTACTCAAAAAGTTAATTCTTGAAATTTATGCCAATATGATGTGACCAGAATTTGACCTTAAGAAAAGGTAATTTAGCTCTGGTGAATATTTGTACTTAAGTCCAATGATATAGTTAAAGGCCATATTTTTTCAAATCAAATCAAGTTTCTTATTTATATCAATAATTCAAGTGTACGAAAGAATTTTTACAATAAATCTTTTAATAATGAAGATCATTAGCTTTTGATTTCATTTTAAAATAAAAGTCCCCTTTTCAGTTTTATACAGTATTTGTATGATTAATTTATATAAAAGCATGTGCATATTATTTTAGTTTGTCCACTTATAAAGAGTAATTAGATAAAAAAGAAGGAAAAGACTACTGTATAGTTCTGCTGCATTTTGTAACATTTTTGAATGATCAATAAATAAATAAAAAAATTTTTTCTTTTATTACTATTTAACGAAAATTTAGCATTGAATTGTCATTCATCATTTTAAGAGTTAATACTGAAAAAATTGAAGTGAAAATAAATCTGTTATTTTGAAATTGAAACATAGAAAATTGTTCATGGCACAGGTATGATCATTATACCATGAGACATGACACAATGATCAAATATTAGTTTGTACCATGGCACAAACTAAAATTTAGCTTTAGATAAAACTATCAGTTTTATCCATTTTGTAAAAAACAGCAAATTAATCTTAATAATAATATATTATTAAGACACTTGTTAATTCCAATCTTTGAAATAAATTACCATATTTGCCAATAGCTGAAATTAAAGTTTGCTATATTTTACATCTCCAGAGGAAATGACATACAATAAATAACTACAGAAAATATAAAAATATTCAGGAAGTAACTTATATTTTACAATAGAATAAATTTCAACTGAATAAACTTTCAATTTATTTTCTTTATTTAAATAATTTATGTAATTTATTTAGCAAAGTGAAAGAATGGATACAATAATTAATTTTTAGTACAAGTTGTTATTGTATTCAAGTAATTATCTGGAACAAAAGTAGTCAGATTTATTCAATTTCTTTACTACTATGACAGATTACAATTAAGTCAATAAAAAAAAATTTATCAATGTATCAACTTTATAAATTCACTCAATTTGTGATTTATCAAAACAAAGAACCAGCATATTATGGCTGTACATTGGACCAGTTTTATCACTTACAAGAAAAGTTGAGCTGTAAAAATGTCAATAGCATGCTTGATAGATGAGAAACTTCCTTTTAGTCAGTGCTGTCCATGATAAATATGAAATCAAAATGTGCATCCATATTTTTCAGTTTCTTAAAAAAAAAAAAAGGAACTAGATTGGATTTTAACATTTCGCTGACAACAGTAAGTTAGTTAAAACACCATGAAATGGCCATCTGACTGACCATTTGATACATTATAACATCATCATTATCCAAATTAAAGTATAATTCAATCAAAAAATATTACATCTGAAAAAACTTGATTACTAATATATTTTTGAACAGTCATCATTCTTGTTGTTATCAATATATAGGATGGTTATAATTAAACTAACCTATTCATAACCCTCTAGAGCAGGGCTACCCAATTCATTTTGGAGGTGGGCTATAATTTCAATTACATGTCAGCCGGCAGGCCATCTAGTGAATCATACTTGCTTACACTCATGATTCTTCTATAAATGGATAGGTATTTGAATCAAAGTTTTAAGTTGCACATGTTTTAATAATACCTAATAAAAAATACATCAATGAGACCTATGAAGGGGCTTATTAGCTAATAATTTTTCAATATTTGGTGACAAATCTGATGTCGATAATAATATCAAATTTGAAATATGAGACGCAGTTCTTTAACTGCGGTATTTATTTTTTACATAGTGTAGAGTAGAAAAAACCTTTTCGCAAATATATGTTAAGCCAAATCTGCTTAAAACCTGCAAAACAAGATCACACATTGCAGGGAAGTCTTCCCTTGGTACTAATTTCCAAAATTTTATTAAATTTTCTGAAGACTTCTGCTGTGGTTGTGATGAAACAGTTTCAGTAAATATCTGTTTCAAGGAAGTGTGGTTTTGATTTTCTGTAATTTCCAACTGGGTATTAGTTGGATATTCCATTATTACATTAAAAGTGATTGAGAATGGGTTCATAAAAAGCAAAATACTTTTTTGGTCTGATACGCTGGCTTTCAATTCAGGCAGAGTCCTAATCCTGCCTCCATAAATATGATTTTTAGGAATTCCCACAACCAGAAACAGAGATTGAAGTCTGGTGAACGAGGAGGCCAGGTATCCTGAAAAGCTCTGGATATTTCATGATTCTTGCCAAAGTTAGCCTGAAGCAGTTCCTTGACATGTCATCCAATGTGGGGATGCTGCTCAATCTTTCATGAAGACAGTTGTCTGTAAACATTGCCTGCAAGTCATTCCTGTCTTACAGGAACGACTTGCTGTTGAAGGAGTTCACAGTAATGTGCACTTGTGACAGCATCATTTAGGGCCTTCAGAAGAGAGATTTTTCAAAGAACAATGGCTTTGAATGCAGTCCTTTATAGTAGGTCTGCCTTCTTTCCGAGGTTTTCGTGAAAAGCGTCATCTGGCGGTAATTTTTTTTCATTGCAGAAATCTTTTCCCCATGGTCTATATAACATATGTACCAAGTTTCTTCAAAATTCAATAAGCAGAATCGGTTCTAGAGGTTTGAATAGGGCCAGTTTAATTATAACCACCCTATACATAATCACAAATTCTGTACATAAACATTATTGGCAAAAAAAAAACTTTTTCTAATCTTTAGAGATTTACAACTATAACATACTATTTAACACATAAATTAATAAAATTATGAAGTGTTACAAAGGTCATTCAAGCTTAAACGAAGCTTTTATTTCTACAGACCAAAAGGAATATCCAAAACATGTATAAACTATGTCAATTTTTCAAAATACTCTCCATCTATATGTAGACACTGTTCCCAGCAGCAGGGTAGGTCCCTGATACCTCTCTTGTAGAAAGAAGTGGGCTGACGTCATAGCCAGCACAGGACAACTTGCTGCAGTTCATCGTCTGTCTGGAATTTCATTCCTCCCAGATGCTCTTTATGGGGCCCAAACATACGATAATTGCTGGAAGCTAATCACCTGCAATACAAAACCGATTCAGAAGTTTCTCATGTTTCCTTGCATACCCATTTCTGATCACATGTCAGCTGTTGGAAACCCATGTGGAACAGTAAGTGCTCGCAGATGATTTTCTCAACACTACCGATACTGATGGAGACTTCTGCAATGTATCTCACAGTTACTCGCCGGTTCTCCAGGATAACTTGCTCAACTCATGCGATATTCACTGGCATTACTGCAGTCAGATGAATGTGTTCATGTGCTTCATTTGTCACCAGCTCTTGTCCTTTACCAAATTGTCGACACTGTTTGTACACTCTTGCCCGTGATGGCATTTGTTCTCCATCCTGTGCACTCAACCTTCTCAAAATTTCAGCAAGTTTAACCTTTTCCTTCACGAGAAATTTGATTATGCATCCTGTTCCATCATTTCAAACACATTACCTTCTGCCATGATCATCAAAACTGCTATGCATGTGCAAAATATGTCATGCTTGCTACCGAAATCTTGGGATGGATAATGCTATTCCCTCTCTGGGTTTTATCATGCTACAGTTACTCTTCAAAATTATATGCCCAAAAGTCTCGTTTAACCTTGAACGACCCTTGTATAATGCTTATTAATTCAAAATTTTTAATTCTGACTTTTAAATAATTCAAATATTTGATTATGGTTATACATAAATTGATAAATGAGAAACTTGTCCAAGAAGACAATGATATGTACAATGTGCAATATTATGATTGTTTCTAAATTGCATTTCAACAATATATTTTATATACAGTATTTTTATTTTATTTATTTATTTTCAACATTTTGTTGATTATCAGATTAAGTAACAAAAACTTATTTTCATTAATTAATTTATATTTAGCTAAATCTGCAGAATTTTGATTTAATCAGAAACATCATCACCAGTTTTTGTACCACTCATTTCTCAAACTTAATGTCATTAAGTGAAATACAAGATAATATTAATTTGGACTAATGCAGAAATATATGGTTGGAATAATTAATTGATGATATAATTACATTATTTAAGAATACTTTTTAAAAATCTAATTAATCTTGAGAATTTATATAAAATTTTTCTAAATGTGATTAATCAAATTTTGCTGGAGTTAATTTTAATATTGGAATTCTTTTTTTGATAAAATGCAAAAGCATTTTTTAAATGTTAATTTAAGATTCTAATATCAATCATATTTTCTTTATGAATTTCTCATATTCAAATTCACGCTCAGCTACATAATGACAAAATTTAATTTTAAAAAATCATTCTAATAGTTACATATTATATAAATAAAATTTATATAATAATAATATTTTAAATTGCAAGTTTTTTGATAAATTTTTCTGCAAATGAACATTTTTCTGCAAATGAATGAAAAATACTAGAGAAATTATAATATTTCAACAATACTAAATAAGTTATAGAAGTTGGAATTTAAATGTTTTTCAAAGCCCAATATTTTTAAAATAGCTTTTCAGTTTGATTAAGTGTTGTTCTTTTTATCAAAATTTGTTGAAAGTATGAAATTGATAACTGAGACAGATAATTATATAACTTATCAGTTTTTAATTAGTACTAAATAAAATATACATTTTTTTTATTCCTTCTTAATTTTACATTGTTTTTACCAATGATAACATAGCATAAAATTTTGTTGAAATGTTATATAAATTATCATTTGCAATGTAACATAAACTGATAATTATAACAAACTGATTTCAAATATACATCTCTATGTGAATTTACAATAACTATTGTTAAATTTTAAAAAGTAACATATTTCAATTATGCTATACTCTATTCAGAAATAATTCACGTTAGTTTATTTTAAACAGGTAACAAAAATCATACAATGAAAATATAGCACTCAATCAAATATAAATATAATATTTCATGAAAACATGTCTAGTGGTGGGGCATAAGAAAAACCGACAAATGCATTATCGGCATCTTGTACGCTTGCACTCATTCCCTGGCTTTTTCCAACCGATTCTGTTTAAAAATAACAAAAATGCTTAATAATAATTAATAAAAGACAATTATATAATTTTTAAATTTCTTACGTGGTACGGGTTCTCTCGTAAATTCTGGATCAATATTCTTGACGTCAAAACAATCTCGCTAAAATAAATAAAATTTATAAGAAAATTGGTCCAATAAAAATTTATAGATTTTATTTTTATTTATTCATACCACGTTTGGATTAAATGGCGGAGGAATAGCTTTGGCTTCCAATTCAACCCAATTAATTGGTCTAAAAAACTCGTGAACCTTAATTTCTTCAATGTCTTCTCTTGATCCCAGTCTTTTGCTTTTATCTTTTTGAAGTAACTGTTATTATATAGTAAAATTATATTTATTAGCAAATATAATAACATTTAAAAATACATCAATATGCAATAAAACTATAACTGTATTTGAATATCTGTATTATAGGTGAACATTTTGAGGAATATAAACTAATACATGCAGTGCATTTTAATAAATAATTGTTAATAAAATTTTTATATTCATTGTGGAGGAATTTTTACATTCTTTATTAGGCAATATTTTATGAGGGGTAAATTACAATATTTTATTAAGTCAAATACAAATACCTAAACTGTCTCTTTTTGAAGTGTTTTACCAACTTGGCATTTTCCAAGGTTTGTTCCCATTAATATAGTTACTTGATACTTATACTGCACTTATATATGAAATTTCTGGAATAATTTGAGAGAAGCTTATTAAGTAAAAAAAATTAATTGTTATCATATAACAATTAAGATAATATTTGAATGCTATGAAAAAACATGAAATATGAATTTAAGTACATTTAATTCCTTTCAAAGAAGTTTCAAGATAAATTTCTTAACTACAAACTGGATTGACTGAAATCATTTGTGGCATTATTGTTAGTCAAAAAATTTTAAAAGTTTAGAAGGGAATTTTTCATGCAAATATTTTATAGAATTCTTTCTTTTATATAAAATTATTTTTATCTTAATTTTTTAATATCAGATATTCAATATCACATCAGATTTATGTCAAAGAGGAGCATTGTCCCTCATATGCTTTATACACTGAATTTAGAAAAAATGTGTTATTGAGGCAACCACAAATGATATGGATAAAACCATTCTTTTGGAAACTCACCTACGACAAATCTAATTAGCAAAGAAAACATCAAATTTAGTTTAGAAATGTAAATTAAATAGCACCCAAAGCAATTAAAATGAAACTGAATATCTCGAAGACCAAAAACTGATCAATTGATAATCTGAAAATCAAAACTGCTATTACCATTCAAATACTTAAGAACAAATTATTAACAGTATAACAGAACCTAAAAAAAGTTAAACCAGAAAGAGAGCATTAAAGAATTTACATGATTCTTCACCTAAAATATTTTCCAACCAAATAAAAATCAAGTCACAGTAGTGACTCCATATCAAGTGAAAAAGTCACTATATACCGTATACAGGAGTCAGAATTGCTGATTTTCAGTTGATTTTTCTGCATCTAAAGTAATTCTGAATATTTCATTCAAAAGATAATTGTTTTCATTCAGGATTTTCTATAATGGTTGCCAAAATATAAGCAATTGAAAAATGCAAAAATTACAATAAAGGCTATATTTTGTTGTTCTTTTCTTCATTTGGCACTTCAGATACTCCTAGAAAAAACTACTGGGTCAAGAAAACTCAAATTTTAAACTTAAGCCTTTCTTGTTATCAGTAAGGTGCTCACAAAACTTTCAGGTCAACAAGTCAAGTTCACAGGGTTTCCCATTGAGCTATTTCATTTTTAATGTTTAATTTTATACTTATAATGATTAAATTGCACTAAAACAAATGATTTTCATTCAAAATATTATTCAGAATAAAAAAAAAGCTCAGATTTCTGCAAATTAAAACTTTTCACAACAATTTTACTAAATGTATTGAAAACATTTGGTCTTTGGCTGTCCCAAGTGCCAACTTGGACAGCCAAATATGAAAACATCTACATCAAGATGTAAGATGTTGTCATCTTACATCTTGATGTAGTAACATAATCATAATCAAAATTCAGTTGATATCCAAACAAACAACTGAGAAGTAAAATAATTGCATCAAGTAAAAATTTATGACAAATTAGATGATGGCCAAATTTTTTTGTAACAGTCTTTCTTTGGTAAAGATAAGCTCGGTGCTTGGAAGCTTAAATCTTTACCAAAGTAAAACTCCTAAGAAAAAAAAAATTGACTATCATCTAACTTGTCATAAATTTTTTACTTGGTGTAATTATTTTACATCTCAGATGTTTTTGTTTGGATTGAAATATACAAAACTTATATTAAGCCATCAGTAATTTATGATGGAGAAATCTGGAATACAACCACCTTAGATGAAATAATCTTTTTTGAAAAAAATAAAAAAATAATTAGAAAAAGACCTTGCTCCATTAGAAATGTATTTATTTATTTTCAAGGTTACGGTAAAGTCTTATTAATAACAAAAGGCTTGAGATGACCTCCCCATTTAACAATAAAACAACCCTCAGTCGGTTACAAACTACAAATATTGCTTATAAAAATGCTTAAACAAGTAAAGGTGATGTACAACATAAGTTCTACATCTCTCACATTTGTAATAGCCCAGTACATAAAAGATCTCCAAGCTACATTCCATCAGTAATTTGGCAAACAGAAATTGTATTGCACCCTTCTTGTATGTATGGATATATCAACATCACAAGGTGAAATCAATCCATTAAATTTTTTATAAAAATAATTCTATCAAAATACTATATATAGGTGTCTAAATCAGGAAAAATTAAATGAGACTAGGCAGCAGATGCAGATTCTATGTAAGGAGATGACTTAGTTATTAAACAGAAAATATACCTTATTCAATGACCTGAGGCCCACACTAGAAAAGTATAATCAATTAAGGATGGAAAATTAATAAAAAAATATCACTTAGTACCAACTTTGATGATATATTTTGGCAATGTCTCTACACAATATTACATCTAATCACTGCAGTCTTAATTACTTTATCAATATGATTATTAAAAGTTAAACTCAGAAGTTTAAATATTAAAACAGGAGGTGGAGATGATAATATAAGGAATTTTATGAAAATTATATCTACTCTCTCTTAGTTAAGGAAATCAAATATTCAAGATTAAGATGGTTGAGAACATTGAGAAAATAAGTTAAGAAAGATAATCATAGAGCTAAACAAGTCTTATGTTTTAAGGCTTGTTTAGCTCTATGATTATCTTTCTTAACTTATTTTCAAGCATTCTTCCTGACAAAAGATTAACAAAATGTATCCAACAAAGATGAAAAGGCAATGTAAAGAAAGATATAAATGTATTAAACATTACAGACTGTATGGAAGGCTAAAGGACAAGAAGAAATAAAGTCAAGTTATGCTTCTTGTTTAGCCTTTATTGTAAAGTGGCTGCCAAGGATCTTGAAAATCCATTAAAAAATTAGAATTTTATAATTATCTGTTTCTAATCTAAAAAATAACTGTATATTCTTAGAAGGCTTTATTATTATTTTATACTACTGTCTTTTTTCTTGTCAAGTTTGTACATCTTTGATTATCTATTATTTTATCTATCTAATAAATAATTTGTTTATATATACTAATAATACACATTTATATTAAAAAAAAAGCAAACTGTTACTTATTGGAAACATTATTTCTAAAACAGAAAGATTGTATTATTTTATTTCATTTGACATTAACAGCCCCAGATAAGCTCTAATCTTTTATTTCACTTAATAAATAGGTTTCTTCATTCACAAACAACATTATAACTATTACACATTTATGCAATTAATATGATTAGTCTACCAAAAATTCTACAAAATTTTAATATTTGAATCTTATAAAAAAAAATTCTGAAATTCAAATATTCTGATTTGGAATTTTATCTTCTTTCTTATCTATATTCTTTTAATCAACTTTTAACAATTTAAAACAAAAATGTTTTTCCTTCATAATATATTTGTTATTCTGAATTTAAAAAAATTATTTGATTTTAATTAATACATAGGCAAAGAAAAATAGTTCCACCTTCAATAAGGACATATGGTATGTTAGAAAATTATAAGATATGTTTAAACTGTTATAATCTATTTGAAATTTCTGATATTTTTTGCAAGAAATTTGAAAATATAAAAAATAAAAACATCACACAATGTCATATGACAATGTTTGGTTTTTTTGTTTTTATTTTGAAGTTCTTATTCTTTTCTATTTTATTCAACTTTGTACTTTGTAAATTTTGTTGTATAAAATAGCTTTGTTGCTTAGCTAGTGATGGAATGATACACATTCAAGATCCATCACATCAGTTCAATTCTTAACCTAAGAAATACCACAGTTGCAAAATAGAAATTTTTAAATTATTTGTAAGTAATCATCAACCTACATAAAACTGATAATTTATATAATCTTGTAATAAACTGTAAAGTATAATACAGTGGAACCCCGGTTAACGAACTTAATCCATTCCGTGACTCCGTTCGTTAACTGAATTGTTCGTTAACCGAAGCAATTTTTCCCATAGAAATTAATGCAAATGCAAGTAATCTGTTCTAGTCTCCGAAATTTTTGTCATTTTATTTGTAATATACAGTAATTTTCTTTGATGAAAATGTAGGAATGATAGAATGTAGTATCTATCATTACAGCAACAAACATGTAAACTTTGTTTAATAAAATAGCACTGTACATACCTTCGTTTGTTGTAGTTGGTGGCAGAAAAGTGGAGATATACGAACCTTAATGCTTAGAAGGGGAATCCCCTCCAAAAAAATAACGGGTAGCACTTCATCGGAAGATTCTTCGAGTCGAAGTCTCTTTTGGTAAAAAAAACCCACCAGTGGCTAAGTGGTCTTCGTACCTTGAACACGGTGATTCATTCGTGAGTTCGCACTTCGCTCAGATGGGCTGGCCAAGTGGAGTTTTCTGGGATTTCTCCACGTCTGTAATGCCTAAATAGGGGCTAGTTTCCCTTAAAAACACCTCCCAAAAGGCATTCCCCCTAGTCAGATCGCCCAAGTGTTGCATTGCCATAACTTAACAAAGAAAAAACTGTTTCTGTAAGGAACAAGAAATTGATTTAAAGTTGATTGTCTTACTCTTTTAAGCAAAATCTTTCTCAAATGCGATAGCGCATTGTCGTTTTCTATTGCCACTATGACTTTTTTCTTTCTTTGATGCCATATTGATTAAATATATAAATCACAAAACTGAAAAAAGAAGTATAGCACAAACACTCGGAAAAGCAATGCTTAATTCACGCATGCCTAACACCAACTAAAATTTGACACAAAATACCGTTACGTTCGTTATCCGAATTTTGTTCGTTATCTGAGACAAAACTTTGCAAAATAAAAGTTTGTTAATCGATTTGGTCGTTAACCAGGACGTTTGATAACCGGGGTTCCACTGTATATTATATCAAAGATTTAATACTGTAACTTTGACAATCATAACTCATAATTAATCATAATCCAAATTCTTATGAACTAGAATCTTGATCAAAATAAATAAAATATATACAAATTTAACTAAATATGCACACACTATATTTATCTCCATGCTTTAAATATTTCATAATTCAAAAAAGTTACTACTACTACTACTACTACTACTACTACTACTACTTAAAAGAAATATAAAATTTTTAAAAAATTTAAAAAAACAAAAAAATACAAAGATAAATTTCTTTAATGTGCATTACTAAATGAAACATTGTTTATTAAAACTAAACTTTTTATATATAAAAATATATATAAATAAATAACTATGATGATGATAAATTATTCTGAAAATATTAATTATACATTACTTACAGAGCTGGATGCTATAAGCAAAATCATAAAATATAGTATTACATTATTTTTAAAGAGATTTGATTTTCAAAATGAAAATACAGAAACTGAAAATTATTTTAATATTAATACAATATGTACAGTACTTATAAATTCTAATTTATAAATAATTTTTATTATCAGTAATTACAACAAAAAATTTATCACTGAAAATTCACACACATATAAATCAATTGATCTGATCAATTTATTTATAGATCTTTACATTATTCAATATCTTATTTTCATAATTTTGTAATATAGCAAATAAGGAATTAATATTGAACAGTTTAATTTATATCAAATGCAATCTTAATTGCTTAACTGCAACTACATAAATTTATAATTAATGATAAAATTTAATTATGTTAAAAATTAACATTTAACATTTAATTTATTACTGAAAAAATTATAGTAAGTTTTCTATGCTAAATGAAGGAAATAATAAAATTGTATAACTAAATATATGACAAAAATAAAGAAATTGTTTTCAACAAAGAACACATCATCTTTCTAATGCAAGGTAGTGATAAAATTTCTCTATTCAATTATCTCAAAAACTAGTAGTGTAACCAATATAAACTTTTTTTTTTGCATATACTAAGTCAAACATGCATCAAACAATAATGCTATCATCTCTGTCCAACAATAGGAGAAACTACCTCTACCTCTATTTTCATTAGGAGCAAAGATAGTTTGCCTCCCTTGGATTAGGCTATAGTAAATTACTCATTTTATCATTCTTTACAAATTTATGACTGACCTATTTCTATTAGAAATAGAGATAGCTTCTGCAATCTAAGAAGCAATAACAAACCTTTTTCTGAAGGTTGGCCAAAACTAAATTTGAAATTGAGTAATTCCAACTTGCAGGACAAATATTTCATTAAGTGGGAAATCTGCTGTTATTTATTTAATGATAATTATCATAAGGTCCCTAAAATGGTCTTTAAGACTTATGGTAGCTTTAGGACTTGCTTTCCTATTATATATACAAAATTTTAAAATATATCAAATATTTTTTTTATAATTTATAAAAATTAATACTTTCTAAACTTTCAATGCAGATACCTTAAAATCATTGCACAGATAAAGGGTTTGCTATCACTAACCTAAAAGGAGGGGTAGATGATAGCATCATCATGTGGTCGTACACCATATTTTTATATATAAATATATTTGTATATTTCATTTCCCATTCTTTCTCTGACCTTTGTTCTCTTGTACTCTCCCTTCTGGAAACTTCTCTCTGTGGGTGGCAACTACTGGTTTGAAAGACAAAAGGAGCGGGTTAGCCTGGAGGCACTAAAAGGAAGATAAAGGGGTCACTTTTGGCAGAGACGTCGAGCTGAGAGGACTTTTTCGTGGAAAGAGTCAAGTCGATCTCGCATCACCAAGAACAGAGCAAAAGTGAGTAGGTCTAAGAGCAGATACGAGAGAAGAATCATCGAAGTACTCTAATGTGAAAACCCCTCCGGAAGCTTACTGGGAAACCTGAAGTAAAAAGGAAAAGTTCGAACTCTATGATCATCGGACTTCGTGTCGTCCAGCAGAGAGATCTACGTTGCAACTTCGATCATAAAGTTACTAGCTAGGTTGGGTACCCATTCACATTCAGTTCTATCCTATCAAATACTCCTTCTATCCTTCCCTATAGAATAAGTAGTTCCTAGATAATTAGTTGTAAGATAGTCGTGCTTAATTTTGTAATGCCGCATATTTTTGTAAAGCCGTTCCTTTGTCACGAGAATTCAGGTTAACATTCCTGTTCAAGTTCATAATCTAGACATTTTGTTCAAGGAGTTGTCGGAATCCAAACAAAAACCTGTAAACTTATTGAATACTGGTGAAAAATTAAAGAATTTCCTTTGTCTTATCGTATCTCTTTGTGAGACTCATTTTTCACCATGTGCATATACCACAATCATTTACTGCATGCTCAGTATTGCATGCTAATCATTGGCAAAAGAATCACAATGCTTGTACTTTCAATTTCAAAGTAGCTGTTGCCATTCTATATAGTAAGATATGATCTGAGAAACTGAAATGCAAATTTTACATTCCATGATATGTAATTTCTAATTAGAACCAATATGATTTCTGTAACAATGCTGAATTTCACCCATTTTCCCATACTAGTTTGTAAATTTGTGTATATTATTCTATGTATAATATTACATAGAATAAATAAATTAAAAATTAAAAATTTATCAGACATGACTGTGATTTTACAAATTCTTTAATAAAATAACACTAATCATAATACAGTATTTTAATACATAAAAAAGAAAAATTACACTAATGAGTGAATGACAGAATTTGCAATAATTTTTATAGATAATTTTTAAAATTTGCTTAGACTTGTTTAGATTCACAAACTATGAAATTTTAAATCTTCATAATTATACAGTCATATTTCCTTTTAATCATTTCTTTAAACTAAAGAAGCACATATAATTTATAGATTTTTTTAAGCAATTTATCAACAATATTTATTTCTTAAATACAAACTTTCACCAATGCATTTGAATTTAAAATCACAGAAAATAAAATCAATTGATAATTGTATCATTTGATATTTCATGTAAATGAACTTCAAATCAGATAATCATGATATATTCTATTGCACTAATTCCAAGGTTTAAGAATTTGTAAAAAAAAAAAAAAAGGAAAAAAAGGTAAATTGTTATACTGATAAACAAAAACATGATCTTATCAGCCATAATAATGTGCTATAACTAATTTTATATTTATAAGCATATCATCTAAATTTTAGTATTTTTATCTACAAAATCATTAATAATTAATATCTATTATTTCTGAAATCTCTGTAATTATTTCTTTCTTTTCTATTCAATGATTCCTGTCTAATAGCAAATGTTCTTCAATTTGAAACATTTTAAAATTATCACTTATATTTTATAATTTTCATTTTGTATTTAATATTTTTTAACAAATATTTTTTCTATTATTAATTCAATTAGATACTTTATTATTGAAGATCTATCAACAAATAAAATATTTAATATTAATTATCTTACAGGGATTTGGAGTATTTTCTTAATTTCTGTACCAAAATTTTGGTTTACAAATTAAGAAAGAAGTAAGAAAATAAAATATTTAAATTATCTGATTAATATTTAGATAGATTTAACATTTTGTAGACTTAATCTATCTACTGAGATTTATTTTTTATTAATATATGTCACCGTATGAGATCATATATTGATATTTAGGAAACCATCCTACATTCTATTGATTGGATATTTATTTCTAAAAGATTTTTTCTATCATCATGTAAGAATGATTTTATTATATAGGCTAATGATTTAATTTGTTTTCTTTATTCTTTTATATGTAATTAATAATAAATAATTTGTATGGAACATAGTCATTAATATGTTTTATAATATTCTTACCCCTTCAAGTATGCTTCTAGCTGAAGGAGATGAATTAGATCTTAATCGCAATGGTTTGTGGAGAATATTGTTATACATTTCCATAGTATCTTTGCAGTAAAAAGGAGGCTGGAAAAAAATTGATCTTATTAACTATTATTAATATTTTTGAATGTTATAAAATTCAAACTTTAATCTTTCACTCAAAATTTTTAATAATTTTAATATTATACAGAACATAAAAATATCTGTAATTTTTATTAATAAAAAGAAATATTAGAATAAAATTATAATAATGATCAATAACATGATGATCAGAATGATATTTAATTTATTAGATCTGTAAATTTTTAATACTTTTAAATCTTTAATATTTTCTATAAAGGTATCGAAAATTACATTTTCCTGAATTAACAAAATTTGTTATACTTATTTATTTGAATATAAGACGACCTTGCATATAGGATAAGGTATGACTTTAAAGATCACAATAAAGAAAATTAGGTTTAGTAATAAAATTCTAATTTTATTTCCTGTAATCACAAGTAAAATATCTAATGAATGTAAATGCACACATTGTCCTGCAAAAATTACTGGCATTTTAAACTTTAACGAAAAATCTTGTAAAATCGACCAAATAATTTGTTCGTGTAAAGCTGGTCAATTGGGAACCTTTTTTTTTCGCTAATTTTTAACAGTAGAATCCACTCTCTGTCGATTACACTTATGAGTTTCTCTGAATTCTGATTTCCGAATAATCATCTGTTTTCATGAGGGAATGGATTACATCTTATATCAGGCTACTGTGTGATTTTGGAATTTCAATCTGAAATTCAATTCATAAGCTTTGTTTCTCCTATTGCTATTCATCTTTACTTCCAATAATACACAAGAATGATTCAAACGACCCAGATAAAATACTTATGTTTTTAAATACCAGAGGGTAAGAATTTGGTAAAAAAAATGTCAATACACAGTTCACAAAAATTATTTGCAAAAACGCAAAGAATATTTCACTCACGTATATAAGATGATCTAGGAATTTGAAACTTTGATAAATGAATAAAAACCTCATCTTATTTCTGAGTAAAATATTTAAGTAACTCATTATTAAAAAAAATTTACAATGTTATATTAAAACTTAAAATTTTAAACAAATAAACAAATTTAAATATTAATTTATTTGTTTAAAATAGACACATAATATAAACAGTAAATTTAAAAATTGTACTATTGTATTGAAATGAATTAAATAAATGAATATTAAAAATAATGACTACTTACTAAACCATAGAGCATTTCATATAAAACTGCACCCAAACACCACCAATCAACAGCTTTGTCATAAGCTTCCTTTCTAAGTACTTCTGGAGCTAAATACTAAATACAAATTTGTATAAAATATTTTATCATAAATTACAAACTAAAATTAATTTACAAAAATATTTTTTAAACTGGTTTCAAAGACATAATTCAATTATTTTTACAGAGTTACAATGATTATAAAAGTCTAATTCAGTTAGGTTTAAAAATGTCTTTAAACTTCATTATATAAAAAAAAAACATAATTTTTTAGTTCTAAATCTTATTTTTCTATAATTTGTTAACTAAATTATGTTCATGTTGTTTTATATAATAATTCATTTTTATAAATTCATAATTCATAAAAGGAATTCATTTTTCAGTCCATAATACAGAAAAATGCATAGTTATTGCATTACTATGCATTAACTATGCATAATAATAACTATGCATTTTAATAACTATTTGCATCACTCTAAAAAAACCCTTAAAATCTACCTCAATTATGATCAAAACAATTGTTTTGATTATGGGTCATGACACATTCAGACCCTTTAGGCTTTAGGCTCTGGACGCTGTACACATTGTAGTTCTGCCACTGGATAACATGGCCATTATCTTCAAGTTAAAAGTTTCAAGATTGAATTTTTGAATTTTATTTCATAATGATGGTTTCAAAAATAATAGCTGAACAAGTTAGCAATGAAATTCAGCTTTACCAATAATGCTTTTATTTTCAATAAGACTAGATTAAAAAGTTTTTCAATAATTAATACAATGTAAAATTGTAAAATTAGACATATTGTTATGCTTCATTAAAATTTAAATATTCTCTAAGTTTATTTTTAAGAATCTATTTTAATGCATTTTAAAATTAAAATAAACTAACTTAAGACAATAAAGCTATTACAAGCAAATAATTCTACAGTCTCTGAAAAGATTTATTATATCAAAAAAACCATAAATATTGTTTAGATTGTATACCATCATTGGTATAAAGCATATGTATAATTTAGTTGTGTTTTACTGAACTGCATACCAGTTAGGATTGTGCTTTCAATGGCACTTTGAAAGTGTGGGGTATATGGTGATGCATGTATACAAAGATTTATTTCTATTCTAGCAATTGTTTTTGCAAAATAACTTATTTATCCACAGAAAATTATAGTAATTTTCTTTTAATTTAAAAAATTAATTTTATACTTACTATTTTTAAAAAATTTTAATTTACCTCAGGAGTTCCACAGAAAGTTGAAGTTGTGTCTCTTCCAACAAGCCCTTCTTTACATAATCCAAAATCAGTTAAAACAATGTGACCCTAAAATAAAAGTACTAATTAAAGCTTTCAATTATAATGTGGCTATGTGCCATAATTGTATAGTCATAGTTTATTTTTGAATATGATATTTCCTTTGTCTTCATGTCTTTCCTTCTGAACTTTTTCCCTGACTCGTGTTTAACAGCGTAACAGTAGGTGATCCATTAGTAACAATTGGAAGGTGTGTGACCCTCAAGCATAACAGTGACCATGTATTCATTCTTTGGTGTAGAACGGGACAGGAAAGGACACGTGAAGAGAGCTCTCTAGCGTTTTTTTTTTTGGAACTGCGTGGAGACAAAATGGAATTTGAGGGAAAAAAGGAAAACAAGGATAGTGAAAACTCTGAGGGGTGTTTTCATTCATTCCAGTATGTATAGCTTAACAAAATTCCTGGGAAAGTGGTTTATATTTGCCGTGAACAGAGTTCATCCAACTTCCAAATATCACTGTGAAAAAACGCTGAAATCATTGGGTACCCAATTTTTCTCTCTCATCTTTACTTTTCATCTTTTTTCTTGTTTTAAATCTATATTTCATCTTAAGTAGATCATAATTAGCCATAAATTTAGATATAAGATATATAATTGTATTTTCTATTGGTAGACTAGTAATTCAAGTAAGGAAGAATTGTCGCAATATATAACTTATGTTTGTTAAATTTTAGTTACTATAATAGTGTAATCAGTTCAGGGATAGAGATTGAAACTGGCATCTGATAAAGATTTCCTGTATTCTGTACGCGAATTAAAGACTTTTATATTATAAAAGTTGAGTTTCTTTATCTACGGTATTCGCACACTTCACAATAAATTGAGTAAATTGTTACAAGAAAATTAAATAAACTATTGTGTATTTCAATGATATAATCTGATTAACTGTAAAACTTTGATTTTTCCAATTTGTTAAAATTTTGATATAAAACAAACTATTACAGAAATTATATTAATAAATAACTAAAATGCTATGAATATTTGTAACTGTTAAAATTAATATAATCATTATATTAAAAAGTTTTAATTTTAGTAATAAAATTACATTGTAGTTAAAAATGAAAAATATCTTACTTGATAATCTAATAAGATATTTTCTGGCTTTAAATCTCTAGAAATAATAATAAAAAATATATATAAAACCATACTTTAAATTAAGTAATCAAATATCTGAAGAAATATACATACATAATGCTACATTATCCTTTTTTCAGATGTCAGTTAATAAACAGAACAAAAATTTAATATTAATTTAAATATATTTTTTTAAATTTTTATGAATTAAAATGATTACATCACTTATTTTTAAGAATTATTACACTTCCACAACTATCTGAACTAAGAAATAAACAGCTTTTATTTTGTAAACCAATGAAAACTTTGTACAATGTAAACGTTTGTAAATTATATTTCTTATTTCTTTAATATTTAGAAATAATAAATAATGTCAATTATATATTATAAGAACAATATAATTACTTCATGCATATAAAAATACCAATATTTTAAACCAATAATTTTTTATATCATCTTTAAAGTACTTATGGAATACATCAGTGATGGTATAATAAATGAGTTTTATATTATTAGTTTCTTATAAATATAATGTAATTTTCAAAAACTATGAGTCAAATAAAATAGAAAGTTTAGTTGAACTACAGTAAACTCAGTTAAGAAGTTTTTCAAGGGACCAATTTAAAAAAACTTCTGAAACAGAAATGAAAATAAGATAGCTTTTCTTTCAATAGTCCATATTTATTTCACAATGTCCTGCTACATTACAGTGGATTAGGCTTTTATAATACTTATTTAGATGTTTGTTTAATGTAACCTGCTTTGTCTGTTTTGTTATGTAAAAAACTGTGTTTTATGATCCCAAAAACAAAACCACAGATCTACAGTACAAATACCATACTAAAATTTTTATTGAAAATTTACAGTATCAACCACAAGTTGGTAGCACTTTTCAGAATTTTCTGTTTATTGCATTGTTGCCAGATAACCATGTAAGAAAATCATAAAATTTGTATTAAAAATAGCCCAAAGTCACACACAAAATTTTGTGCATTTTCTAATGTAATTTTCTTTTCTTTTTCCATGTGCAATTAAATGTACAAAATTTTTGATAGGATGAAGTTAAAAAGTCCTTAAGCAATCCATTTTTCAGTTGTAAAAATTTCAGTCTACTTAAGGAGGAAATTTTCTTAAATGGGAACATTTTATACCAAAAAATTCACATATCTCTTAAAGGGAAAAATTGGGACTTTTGAAATAAAACTAATATTGCAAAACTTCTAATGTGAAAACTTCTTAACTGAGTTCTACTGTATTAAAATTTTAAAATAGTAATGATAAGTAAATTTAAAAAACTTTTATATACTAGATGATTATAATAAAAGTATCCTTATTCAATGCTGTCTAGAGATATATTTAGCAACAAAATTTAGTACAGTCAGTGGTGTATTGCTAAAATAAAAAAAATACTACCATAGAATGCTTCTTTCCAACTCACAAGCACATATTTCATTAAACAGATAAATGGTTATATTATTATCATTAAATTGTTTTATTATTAAGGTGAATTGTGAAGGCCTATCAAAACAGTTGCAGTTAATGGAGACAGGTTTGAGAGGTTTCTTTACAGTACTGCTAAATGGAAGTTTTTACAGATGTAGAATGTGATAAAGTGATTTTTGTTTAGATATTTGTTTGTGATCTGAAAAAATTGTTTGTTTGTTTGTTTGATCTCTCTAAATGAATAAAATGTTAAAATGCTAAATTATTTAATACTTAAAGAATTACCATTCTCATTGCTGCTATTGGCGATATTTCAATAAGTTTAAATTGTATAATAATACAATTACAGGTAATTAAAATATAAGAAAATTATCTTTATAATTAAACATATTTTTATTTTAAAATTCTTTTTGATCAAATTAAGTTTGTGTAAATATATTTAATAAATGAATTTAGATATTGTATATAACTCATATTAATATAATTTTTCTAAACATAAATTTCATACTTTGATAATACAATGGTTATAAAGCTGCAAGCCTTTTTTTCATATTTATATTGTCATTTTAAATAAAAAGTTTAGGAAAGTTAAACAAAACAAGCATTACAAAACAAAAAGAAAATTTTTGTAGCTCAGGAATTAGTTTATTAATAACTGCCACTGGTGTCAACTGAGTATAACGCACAAAACCCAACATAATAATAACACAAAATTACAAATTCAATATAATATCAATTTTTCAATTGAAATGAGAGGTTTTTCTATTATAAAAAAAAGCATTAAACATTATAAAATCTTAGAAATAGCTTTGAAAACCAAAAATAAACTAATTTACACAATTTTACAAAGTCATAAATTACATATCTATTTGAAAAAATTAAAAAACACCCTGAATATCATGACCGAAAACGTTTGAAGTAATAAACTTCGACTGCAAGATAAGATGTAGTAGTAAGTTTTGTTTGTTCTGAATATCAAGTCATTAAAAGACAATTGGCTATTTGTTTTTATTTTTTAATGTAAAATTTAAATTGAATATTGCATAATATAAGATTTTCTGAATGTAAATAAGGAAAGAAATTTGTTTAATATGTAAAAAAAACTTTAACCCTTACAAGTTTTGAATTAATAAATCTTCAAAAAAGCTTGCATTTCAATTAAAAAACAGATAAGAGTATAAATCAAATATATCAGTCTTAAAGCAAGTTTCTACACATTCTTCTTTTCAACATCTGAAATTATTAGTAAATAATAAAAATAATTCACAGTTAACGAAAGTATTTTCTTAACAAAAGTATTTTCTTAACTGTAAGCTGTTTCTTGTTACTGATAATATATGATGTTAAAAAGAGCATACTACAGTAATTATTGGATAATGAATTTGGGTATCAAAATTTCAGCCTAGTTTTGAAAAATCAGCTCAGTATCATTAAAATTAGTAAAAATCATTTTATAATCTATGATACTTTCAAATAACTGAATTCAAAATTATTATTATCAATTTCTTATCAATATTCATTAATCAAATACTGTATACAAAATTCCATAAAAATTTGATGGATGGAAGAGTTTTGCTAATTTCCTGAGATTAATAGTTCAAAGCCATCATAAAAAATTTTGATACTGAACAAAACTGGGCAATAACATACAGATAAAAACTCCTTAAAATTCTCCTAAGAAGAACTCCTAAGCAGGTCAAATTTAAAACCACAGTGCTCAAACATATAGACTTTAAGGAAGAAAAGCATATTTCACAAGCATGGCAACTATTTGAAAGCTATTTGATAAATCATTATAAAAAGCATTACATCTATATTTCCATTTTCAAACATCAAAGCCAGTGGCATTCCATTTCTGCACAGTTGTAACCTGAAACTGGTTTTACAGTTAGACATAAACTGAAAGTGATTGTTGTTTCTGAACTTCCATCAGTCTGCTGGGAGAATTTAAAGGTTTGAGTTTTTACAGTCGACCCCCCTATAATTACGGTCCTTATAATTACGATTCCTATAAAACTACGAAAAAATTGCTACCGGTATCCGTAAAAAATAGTAAAAGTTCCCTATAAACACCTCAAACGTCATCGGGCAGCCGAACTACTTTCCCGCCGTCCGTAGCGCCATGCTACGGAGAGATTTCTATCGTCTGGACAGTATTATATAAATTATATATAAATTAGGTACTGTACATATAATTATATATTAATTATATATAAATTAGGTACTGTATATATAATTATATATTAACTTATTGTAACTTTGTTATAATTAAATATATAATTTCCGCCGTCTAGCGTGGCGCCACGCTACGGAGATTTTTACGCTAACTATCGTCTGTCAGTATGTAAATTAGGTACCGTAAGTCTAATACAGTACTGTAATTTTATACATTTCTTGTGAAAGAAACATTTCTTATTCAACGGCGATTAAAATTATTTATATTAATGATGTCTCCGAAGTTCTACGAAGTTTTCACAGAAAAATAAGTTGTTAGAAATCGGCCGCTCTTTGCTGAGCTGTTCCGCGACGAAAACAATGTTGAGCAATGGCAATGTCGAATGGTGACACTCGGTAAGTAATCCTACAATTTTTTGTTTATAGCGTAGTTTATACGGATTATTCCCAAAAAATATATACGTATTTTGGAAATGTTGAGTCGGATTAGTCTAGAATCGATTAATTTTATGGAAGAAAATCTTTCAAACAGCCGTAGTCCGTAAACTTGACACGTGTCGGGTTGTGATTGGAAGGATTCGTAAGAAATCGGATTCCTAGAGAATGGAACGTATCTCTATCTTATAGGGGGGTCGACTGTATTTTCAAATCCATCAATTTTTTTAAAATATTTTTTAGTAATTGACAACAATATTGTTTTACTTCAAACAATTTCTTTCTACTAAATTAATTTTGAAAATAATAATAGTAGTAATAATTACCTATATATAATATTTTCTGAATGTAAATATCCTAATGCACTGGCCATTTCTGCTGCGTAAAATCTTGCTCTTGGTTCAGGAAAAGAACGTTCTTTTTGAAGATGAAAAAATAACTGTAATTTTACATTAATTTAAATTGAATTCTCAAACAAAATTAAATTTTAAAATGAGTTTTTTTTTATATTGCAAAAAAGTTACTTGAAGATATCAAATAAATTTTTATTTTTTAATGATTTCAATAATGATATTTTATTTTTGTCATTATTTTGTCAAGTTTGAAATAAAATAAATAAATAAATAATTAAAGTAAGCAAGAATAAAATAAAAAATACTAATATAAATTTTAGTACATTAATTTGAATCAATTACACAAAATTTTAATTTTTGTCTGACCATATTATTTAAAATAATTTGCTTGCAATGTAAATATTTCATAAATTAATAATGGAATTGGAATTTATGAAATTAAATTAGAAAGGCTTATAAATAATATATGTAATAAAATATCATGAAAAAGTCCACAAAGCAATTAAATTAATGTGTTTTCATTATACAGTTATAATAGAGAAATTATTTTATTATATATCTTTCTTACCTCACCACCATTAGCATAATCTAAAACAAAATATAGTTTGTCAGGTGTTTGAAAAGAATATTGAAGTCCAACAAGAAAGGGATGATGAAGATTTTTTAACAACACATTTCGCTCACTCATAACATGATTTTTTTCATTTCGCTTCAAGATCATTTTCTTTTGCAAAACCTATAAATAGAATTTAAATTTACTTCAATTTTCAGTGAAATCAGGAAATTTAATAAATATACAAAAAATTAAATCTATGTAATGTAATAACAATAAGTAAAAATCAATGTCATTTGCAATATAAGTTTTGAAAACATGGAGAAGTGCCTTCATGTTAGTTGCATTCAATGGCATAACTAGAAATTTTAGTCCCTTAAGCAAAATATGATAAAAATCCTCCACATTTGGCTTCAGGCTGCTCCAGTCGCATATACCTGAAAACTATATGTGACCAATATGTAAATAATCAAGATTCACCAATGGTGATCCATATTAGAAATACTTTACATAAGAGCGACTGAGAGACTTTAGATTCAAAATGCATTTTGTAGAGAGAAAAAAGTGCCTTATATTTTCTTTTTGATCAGAGGATCCAGTACTTCATAAAACCAATGAACCAGCAAAAGAAAAGAACTACTCACTTTGAGAGGTGAACGTTTTTGTCCATTTTTAAAAGGACATCCTCAGATTGGTATTCTAAAATTTGAATCATACATTTTTGGAATGGATCATAAACTTTACGTAGTAATCAAAGATTGGAGGATAGTTGATAGATGCTGATTGGTGGAATGTTTGTACATAGTAACCTGTGTTAAATGTGCTTGTGTTGAGTTTATATATATTTTCCACAAGTTTGGGATTGCACTATCCTCCAGATACCTGGAGTTAATGGAGATCTACAGAGTGGCTCAAAAGTCAAAAGCCATCAACAATAAAGAGAATAGTGTAATCCCAAACCTGTTAAAAAATATACCATATTTACTTGCATATAAGACAATTTCACATATAGGACAAGGTGTGACTTTAAAGATCAAAATAAAGAAAATTAGACATATTAATACAATTCTTATTTTATTTCATTTAATCACAAATAAAACATTATCAAATGCACGTAAATGCACACATTGTCCCACAAAAACTACTGGCAATTTATACTTTAAGGAAAAATCTTGTAAAATCAACAACATAATTTGTTCATGAAAACCATTTTTGCCAATTCTTAACAGTCAAATCCACTCTCTGTTGAATCCATACTTATGAGTTTCTCTGAATTCTGATTTCTGAATAATCGTCTGTTTTCACATGGAAATGAATTAAAACATATATTGGGCTCCCGTGTGATTTTGGAATTTCAATTTGAAATTCAATTCAAAAGCTTTGGTTTTCCTATTGCTTTACTCCTGACAATATACAACAATGATTCAAATTACCCAAATAAAATAATTTTGTTTTTAAACACCAGAGGGTGAGCATCTGGTAAAAAATGCAAATATGTGGTGCTCAAGAATCATTGCAAAAATGCGAATAATCTTTCACTCATGCGTATAGAACAACCTAGGTTTTCTATACGCATACAATAAAACATGAAAATTTACTTACTGAGTTGATAGCATGGAACAAATTATTTTACTATATTTCACATTAATACAGTGAATTTATAAGTTTATGTCACCAATCATGAAACCAATTACAATGCATCATTAAGGTATTACAGTAAAACCTCAATTTAACAGACAAAATTTCCAGTCCCTATATGAGAAAATAATACTCTGTTCATTTTAAAATTATTTTTGTATATGAAACTAACAGGTTATTTTTTAAATCCAAGAGTCACTGCTTTTAATTTCATACCACAATATATTGTCATATATTGTGGTATATATAACAATATATCAAGTGTCTTGATATATTATTATCAAAGACAAATAAATAAGAAAAAACTTTGTGTTTTTGTCAAATTTAAATTTTGTACTTCTATTTAAGAACATTATTTGTTTAGTTAAATACAGTTAAAGTATATTTTCCAAAAAGTGTTTATTTATTTCAGTTTAGATCATATACTTGTTTATTAGTCTTAGAACTACAGTGAATACATAAGCCAATAATATATACAGAACACTTTCCTGTGAAATTAAACTTCTCACAGAAACCTCATTTTAATTACATAAACATATCTATAAAAAAACCAGATAAATTAACTAATTTGCCAATTTTTTAACACATACATTCAGAAAATCTACTTTATTATATAATGGATTTTCAGTTTTAATAGAGGCACTCTCACCTGAATTAGCCTGTTAAATCAAGGTTTTATTGTATAAAATTTAACTGTAAAATCTGAAATTTTAATTTTCTGAAATTTTTGGGTATTTTTGAAAATTTCAAAAACAAAGTTAAATTTTTAAAAATTGTTATATTTCATTCTTTTTGGAATTGAAACTATGAATAATATTAAATTATAAGCAAAAGTCTATTTTCCAAAAAGTATAGAAATTTTTAAATCTACAATTTTGGGATTTTTGAAGCTCTTCTATATATTTTGTATTATAATTTGTTTTCTGACATTTTTGTTTATCCCTTAATAGTTAATAAGGAATAATTATAGGAAAAAAATGCATTTATATTAATGTTATATAATGACTAACATTTACTTATTTATTTTTGCATTATTAAAATAATTTTCTATATTATACTCACTTTCACTGCATAAACATTTCCTTCTGTTTTATGTTTAGCTAAAAGAACTTTGCCAAAACTTCCTTTTCCAACTACTTTTAAAAATTCAAAGTCACTTGGTTTAGCACTAAATTTAAAAAAAAAATGTAAACTATTAATAAAAATACATATTGTTAACCAAAGTAGATAGATATCAAATGATAACTGTAAAAGAATATTTAATAAATTATTATATTAGTAAAAAGTAATTTTAATTTATATTACTAAATGAAAAATTACTATTAAAATCTTTATCTTTATTATATTTAATGATGAACTGTGATGGACTAGCATGGCCTTGAGTGAACCAACTGTTAGAGTTTCTTTAAATTTGAGAGTTTATTGTTAGCATTCTTAAAAAGAATCTTATCAGTATAAATTTTTTTTCTTATATATGTAATGTTTGTTCTTTCTGAAGCCCTGTGATGACCATGAAAAATATACATCAACTGACAAACGTTTCAATGAACACTAAGCAACAGCATATGATTAAGCAAAGTATTTTATTTCGTGGAATATGTACAAGTTATTTTCAAATTCCAACTCAATGATAAAATAATTAAACAGGGCTGCAATATATATTTAAGGGCAGACTATGACAAAACATGCACCAATCACAACATAAAATTATAAAATGATATCTGGAAAGACCATAACTAACACTCACACTAACTTATACTAAGGAAAGAAGGAAGATGATAGGGAGAGTAATAAAATAGAAAAATAGGATATAGGAAAGAATGAAATACCCAGGGTTTTATGGAACTTCAATTTTTGGTGGGAGGCCATGTAGAACTCTCTCTGAAAGATGGCTTGTTGTCATCTTCCCTAGGTTGTCCTTTCTACCTAGTCATTACACCTTTTATCATGACTATGATAAAGTTCTTCTCAGACTAGCATTGTTCCTCCAGTCTAGTTGCTCTTAACGACACAGAGTACCATCTTCCACATCTGTCCACCTTGAAGTCTGGTCCAAAGAATGTGTTACTCTCTCTCCCTCGTGCCCTCAAATCTTATTTCTTTCTTTGTTTTCTATAGTTCCAAGAATCAGTCCTTACTACCCAAGGGGAAAGAGTTAGAAAGGAAAGCTCTAGAAGCAAGAAGGAACAAAAAACAAAGGGGAATACTCTAAAACTATACTTAAATTTATATATACATAATGGCATACTGCCACAGTCCCAACAAGCAGCCTCTTATGAAAACTAACAATACTATGAACTCTTACATCAGGTTTAGTCATAGTAATTGGCCTATATTTGCATAATAGCAATAGGTGATTTAATATTGCATGTGATACAGTAATAAAGCATGTTGTAGTTATTGTGAATAAATCTGGAGATAATGGGAAAAATTGTTAATCAAGAAATCAATATGAAAAAATGACACCACCACTATTTTAAATATGTTGGTCAAAAACATGGAACTTGGAAGAAATTTAGTTACATTATAAAATATGATAAAAGTACTAATGATTTTAGAGACTTGATATGTTGTCATCAAAAATTAAAAATCTTTATCTTTATTTATATTTAATTACTGAAATATAAAGCTACATATGAAATATAAATTTACCATGTATTTTTTTAAATCTTTATTACAGTGTATTTAAGTACATGTACACATGAAAAATTTCAAAATAACAAAAATATTTAATAGAATAAAATAATAAATTGTTCATAAAAATATACGAAATACAGTGAATGATTTCAAACAGATAAGTTAACGTTTTAAGAAAAATATTGACTATAATTGAGTGGATGTTTCTGGCCAAGGGCACGAGTGTGTCCCCAGTCTGTGCTGTAATAACCATTGATGGGTATTTCTTAACTTATATCAATATATGCTAGAAGAGAAGATATTGACTATAAATTTTAATACTAGATTCAATTTTTATTTACAAATGTTAGCTAGATTATTTTGCAGAATATTAGAACAATTCAGAAAGCTCAGTATGGTTATCCAAATGCTTAAGATTGTATGCATATTATATAATTTTCAAATTCTTTTTATTCATTTTAAGTACTACCCCCAAAGCAAAACTCAACCTAACAACTCCTGCTTAATATGCAAGTTGCACTGCTAGTTTTGCTACCAGACTACCAGTCTAGAAGCAAAGCTCTGGTACCAAAGATCAGATGGAGGTCCATGTGCATAACAGGCAATGCAACTTATATGGTATGCAGGAGTTGTAGGTTCAAGTCCTGTTCCCAGCCAATTCTTTTCTTCCAAAGTATTCTAAATTAAAATTAGAAATTAATTAATTTATAATTTGTTGCTTACACAGACGCAATGTAGTGACAATTTTCAAACATGGTTTCATTAGAATAAAAAACTAATAATAATAATAATTTATAATTATTAAATTTGTCATGAGATGGCAACTTAACTGTTTGCTTCTGGCTAAACTGCATTATTTTGGATTATTAATTAGCCTTAATTGAGCATGATAAAAATTCAGCAAATTATTTGGTTTTATTAATGTATCAGGTTATATTTGTCATTTTATCGTTTATTAGTATTGCACATTTAATTATTTTTATTCCTCATTGTAGACTGCATTTCTTAATAACTAAACACACTCAAGAAAACCTTTTAACTATGCAGCTGTATTTATTAAATTCTAATGTTTTTGGTCATATTTAATGACCTTTATCAAGAATAAATGGAAAAAATGTTAGAATTTAATAAATACGACTGCATAGTTAAAAGGTTTTCTTGAGTGTGTTTAGTTATTTTTATTCCATTAATAAAAAGGAAATGAAATTGTAAGATAAAGAAATTTTAGCATTAAGCAGTCACTTAAAACTTTATATGTGCCAAAAAATATAAGAAGTTTAGTCTCAGTATTCTGTTTTTCAATTTCACTTATTTCAAGTACTGTGAACTGCTAAGAAAAAAGTGAAACAAAAAAATCAATATTTTAATGCTTGAGATGGTAATCTTCTAAACTCCATACTGATGTGTCATGCTTTTTACAGCCATTCTGGAGGTGCAGAATATAGGATAATATGAATTATATAAAGATTTTATTTCTGTTCTAGCAGTTTTCTGTTAGTGCAGAGAAAATCTTCTCCACAAAGGAAATCACAAACATTCAAGAACATCAACTATAAGAAAGCACCTGGTTCAGATGGAATTACCAGAAACATCGCGAAGCATGCTTTCACAGTTATTCCTTCTACCGTTGTTGTCTTGTACAACAAATATTTAGAGTTAGGGTATTTTCCAAAGGTGGGAAAAAACTTGGATTAAATTAATTCTGAAAAATAAGAACAAGGTGCCTGAAGTTCCTCAAGATTTTCGGCCTATCTCCCTCCTACCCATACGGGGTAAGGTATTAGACACACTTATCTCCAAAAGATTCCACACAGTTCCACATGGAAAAAACAAGTTCCTTCATCCTAACCAACATGGTTTTAGGCAAAACAGGAGCGCTATCACTGCTTTACAGTACATGGTAGATTTCATTTCCTCTGCAAAACATGACAACAAGCACACCCTTGCAATCACTATTGACTTCAATGGTGCATTTGATTCTGGTAGCCCTCAGGCACTTAGGCTGCTCCAGGAACATTTACAACATCTAAAGAGCTTTCTCTCAGAGAGAAGGATTACAATTAACCTCCAAACCACTATTATTTCAAAGAAAATCCAAAGGGGTTATCCCCAGGGTTCCAGCTCTGACCACCTTCTTTTACAACAGTCTACTCAAACTTCAGCATGATCTCCCAAGGTATCCAACAGTCAGCATACCAGTATATGCTGATGATACTCTTATCTTAATGAGACATAAAAATCAGGAGGTCTTGCAGTCAAAAATGAACCAACTACTTCATGACATCAGCGAATGGTCCAAGTTCAACCAATTATAAATCTGGCAAAATGTGAGTGTATCATATTCCCAAGAAGAAACACTTTGGCCAAAAAATCCATCCTAAAAATCAACAGACAGAAAATAGCCAATCAGGACACCATCAAATATCTGTGGTTCAAAGTTGATGATAAACTTACTTGGACTACCCAAATTGAATTCATTCACTAAAAGGCCCTAGCCATGGCCCACTCACTGTGCTCCATCACATGTAATACATGGGGCCTTAACTACAACACTGCCAAAATAATTTACACTGGTACTATAGAACCCTCCATTCTTTATGGAACTGAGATTTGGAGAAGGCCGTCGCAAAAGCTAACATTAGGAGGAAGCTCCTTTCCACTCAAAGGAATTTCCTTATACTGATCACTAAGGCTTACAGGCCCTCCCAACAAATGCAATGCAAGTCATAGCCAACCTAACCCCCCAGGATCTCAGTGGCAAAAATGTACTGAAAAAATCATCTACTTCACCAAAACAAAAGCATCCTTGAATCTACCATCACCTGACATCAAATATCTGTGGGACAAAATCAAAACCCACAACCTTGATCTGCACTATGACTTCCTTCCTGACCATCCATCTCTCAACCCTCCCAAAGTCCTGCTCATCCCAGGAAAAAGAAAACAGGGTCATCACTTCCATACAGATGGGAACAAATCCCTTGTTCATGTCAACCTGAAGGGGCACTCCACACATCAGGTCAACTATTGGCTCATAGAATATTGCTCTAACAATCAAGCCAAGAACTTCACCATACTTAAAGCCCTAAAGTACAGTACATACAAACTAATCACAAATAGTTTTCCAAGGAACCATTCACCATCCACATAGACAGCAGGATTGCTCTTCATCAGATACATAAACAAAATAAAAAGTTTACCATAATCCAGCAGGTATGTGACTCTCTCACATGCCTAGCTAAGCTTAAGCAATCAGTGTCCTTCGAATGGATCAAGGGCACATTAGAGACCAGTGTAACGACAGGGCCAATCTACTGGTCAGAAAGGCCATCAGCATCATCATCACCACCACCACCACCTCTTTTGGATACATCCCAGCTATAACCCAGCTAGCTATACCCAACTTGGGTGACTCAATGATTACATCACAGGCATATGGCAACAACAATGGGACACTGAGGTCACTGGGAGACTCATGCATGAGTTTATCTCAAACTTCTCCAATAGAGAACACATGGGACATCTGACACCAAATCAGTGTCTATTGCAACTTATGACTGGTCATGGAAACATGGCAGCATAACCACTTCCTCAGAAAGGGAAATGGGGAATGTGACTGTGGCACAGGAAAACCAGAGGACTTGCACCATATCATCTACTTCTGCCCGAAATACCACAACAACAGGAGGAAACTTACAAACTGAAGGAAGAAATTCACAACACAAGAGCCAACTGGCCACGTAAGGTTCTTGACTTAGTTAGCAACAGGAACAACTACGAAGCATTGGTCAACTTCATGAACGGTATGAACATTGTTACACATTAGGTCCTCTCTGTCAGTCGAGGAGGGCATCACTCACAACATTATAACAGTGACAACTGTATCCTCTTCAAAGTACTATAAATGTGAAGCAGGTATTCTCTTATTGACTCTCACCTGTGCTTCAGCATAAAGCTACTTGGTCACCATTTGTTATTCGCAGTTTTGTAATATCTGAAAATCTTAGTGTTAGTCAGTGCACACACTGCCTTCTGTAAATTGTAAATTTCTGTTCTTTGTGCTTCTCTGTTTTGTCACCTGTGCCTTCCTAAGTCTGGAAGAAGCATTGTATCTCTTGTTCTGTTTTCAACAATCTGGCATTATGTTTTTGCATCAGCACAGCATTGTTACCTTCTGGAGCCAAAGGGGCATTTTCTGCTCCATCCTCCCCACCTGGTTGGGGGCTCTACTACCGTGATTTCATTGGGGGGAACTCAAAACCAACATGGCTGTCCTAGGTTTTTCCCTTGCATCAAAATACTGGAGTGTGTTTTCCTGTTTCCTCATCGTATGTATTGTACTTTTATTGTAATTCTGGTATCCCGTTCTCCCCACCAGGTAATTGGGAAAGTATATTGTCACTCGTGTTCTCTGTATCTAGAAGAAGCATTATATCCATTGTTCAGTTTCCAGCCATCTGGTGCATTGTATATACGTGTCAGTTCCTAATTGTTACCCCCTGGAGCCAAGGAGGGCAGTCTCTTTGTTTTTCCATCCTCCCCATCAAGTAGGAGGGGCTGTACATATGCAGCCTTGAGGGGAATCTCAAAGCCAAAGACTGTTTTAAGATTTCCCCCACCTCAAAGTGCTGAGGCTTGTTTACTGTTCAAGTGTATTGTATGTTATTTTAATTCTATTGTAACTCTGGTTGTTTAAATAAACAGAACTTGGTGGCTACTCTAGATATCATGTTTTCACACTTTCCTATCATTCTTTTCTTTCCTTCATGCTTTTCACTTCAGCTAAACTCTTCATTCTTCCTTTTCAAAGGCTTTGCCTTAGGGTTAGGTTTTCTATCCTTTGAAAGAATGTAGAATGATAGTGCAGTTATATGCTTATAAAATTACAGTAATTACATGCAGAAGTGTCTTAATTGTTTGGCTTTAATGAATTGAAATTTCACATAGTATTACATATATAATATACTACTAATTTTATATTCACTGTAATATACATTTTATTTATTTATTTTTGTGATTAGAGAAATACTTTTTTTTAATTGTAATACTTACTGTTTTTTTTCTGTAGGTCCCAAATCCATTGGTTTATCTTCCTTATCTTCTTGTTCTTCCTGAATAAAAATATATATAACGTCTCATAATATTTTTTGTATATTTACAAATTTTATCTTAATATATTGCACACAGATTCATTTGTGTAAATTTAAATAATTTTAATATATTAAACTTCACAAGTACAAAATAATTTTATAATGCATATTTCAATAAAATTATTAATGCTGATAACATATGCTATAAAACTTGTCATCTCTTATCTTTACAATAATAATGATGTAAAAGCTTCAATAGGATGATAAACAAATCTTTCCATATTAAAAATAATTTTTTCTCTATTTTCTTTTATCTTTTTCATAATTAAGATATTGTTAAAATGATAAAATTATCTTAAAGATATTGTGCAATACAAGAATTATCATCTCAGCTCATAAAAAAAATGAATTACTGCATAAAAACTTTCTAATATATTAAATATGCCTCATACAAATTTAATAATTATTAAAAATTGAAAAAATTATAATGTATTTTTATTTATAATTACACTAAAAGTTATTTTTGACTATTTTATAATACATATTTATATATGTAGTAAATAAGTTAAACAGATAAGATAATTTCATTAAATATATTTATTGAAATTAGCCTATTATTTTAACTTATTATTTATGTAAAAAAACAATATAAAATTAAATAAAACTATTGATAAATATAAAATGTTTATAATGCTTCATAGATATGCGAATAAATCAGAAAGTTTTCCAATGCATGAGCTGGCCACATACAGTTGTTCATGTGAGAAGCACGGATTCTCCAAATCTAGCCCACACACTTGCAGCGATTGTCAGAAGTGCCCCATTTTTATATATATTTTTTAATCCTTTACAATTTTAATTATTTAATTGCTCCTTCCTCTCTTCCTTGGCATGTTGTGAAATTTCTGATAGTTGGATAATAAATCGTTTTATTGTAATTTGTCTTTTTAAATTATTTTGAGTTGATATTAAAATTTGGAAAAGGGGGGATCCCTAGATCGGTAAAATAGGCAAATTTCCTCCTACAAGTTCAGTTGTTGTTCGGGATACAGTTAAGGTTGTAACAAAGTTCAAGTGAATACATAATTAGCAAAAAATAGTTGAAATAAAGTGATTAAACAAAAATTATTACAAATATCGTAAATAACAGTTCACAAATGCATACGTAGAGATATTTTTTGGAGGGGGGAAATGGTCTTCACAATTTGAAATCGATCAAACTCATGATGAAATGCTCGTATACACTCGCGCCATCTATCACAGGATAAATGTACTATGCCAGAAACCTTTGCGGGAGTGTATTAAACAACTTCCCAAAGTTTCATGGCAATCGGATAAACGATGTGGTAATGCATGAAGGACATACAGACAGACATACATTCATTTTTATATATATAGATTATAATACATCTGCAAATATTAACTATCATTGTTATTTACAAAATACATAATTAATTGATTCTACTTACATGAAAAGATGATTCTGGTAACTGATCCTCTTCATTTCCCGTATCTCTATTCAAATTTCTTTCCACATTTAAAAACTCTCGAACATACGGACTTAAATTTAAAATTTATTATTATTATTATTATTATTATTATTATTAATTATAAGTGTTTAAAACAGACTACACTACATTAATTATATTTACATTGTTTAATAACACTTTATTTTCTGCACTATTATTTTTGGATTTAATTTAATTTAGTCATGAGATCAAGTTCAATATATAGGTAAGTTCAATAATATAGAAATAATTATAANACAGACTACACTACATTAATTATATTTACATTGTTTAATAACACTATTTTCTGCACTATTATTTTTGGATTTAATTTAATTTAGTCATGAGATCAAGTTCAATATATAGGTAAGTTCAATAATATAGAAATAATTATAATAGCAAATAATTCAGAATAATCTGATTTTGATGCAAAATAAAAAGTTTTAAGTTCTGTTTTCAATTATTATTAAACATTATTAACTGAAAAATATTACTTACTGTTCTAAAAGAAGGGGATCTGTTACCAATCTTTGTACGAAATCATTTAAACCTTGTTTTCTATTTTTAATAAAATCAGCACTGAAATTATTTCCAAAACGTTTTTTACCAGGCAACTTCAAGTGTAGATTAGGATATTGCTTCTTCAACTAAAAATTCAAAATTCACAATTTATTTATTTTTACTTAATATGATCAACAGTTTGACCAAAAGAATAATTTAAATACATTATACAAAAACATCATTAAAATTTGCTGAATAAATATACTTCTTATATTACATATTTATAATTTAACATAATTTTAAATGTCATCAAGAAATTTAAGATGTTTTGTTAAAAATCTTTATTTTTATAGTATGACTTCTTTTTTCCATTGTTCTTAGCTGCTGAGTATACACTCAGTAGCTAAGAACAATGGTATATGCATAATATACACGGTGTGTCTAAAAAGTTCAGTGAATGTTAGAATATCTCAAATGCAACACATGCCACATGGTTGAGTATGCATGTGGACATCCAGGGACATGTCTAGAATTGTCTTCTAACATGGAATTCATGTGGCTACACATGGGCTCATTCAAGCACATGTAGTCATTCATGCACAGTCTCTGAGAGGTGGCATCAAAGAGCAATGGAAAAACAGCTAGCATAAAGTTATGTTTCAAATTGATGAAAATGAAGACATATGCCTGAAATGTTGATCAAAGCAATCTTGAGCTTGTGGATTTGTTTTTTTCCTTGATTCAAAGAGGCCATTATGGGATCTGATGTCACTGCAATTCAAGTTTATGCGAGAACAGTTCTTAAGAAAGTTCCCAAACAAGACTTTTTCAAATGATTCCAGAAACTTGATGAATGTTGAAAGCATGTGCCTCATAGAGAGTACTTTGAAGGCCAATAACAGTAATTCTTATGTATTTCTGTTTTATTGTTTTTATTCTCATATTCACTGAATTTTTTAGTCACACCACACACATATGTAATGAGTGTTACATGCTTATAGGATTAAACTTATAACTTATGAAAAAAAATACAATGTTGAGTTTTAATGAATGATAAAAGAATAATTACTAATAAAAGCAAAAAGTTATTTTATCATCAACAAACAATCTATATTTTATGTATCTTCTTTAACTTATAAGGGATGTAGAAAACAAACTCATATTTATTAATAAAATTAAAACAACTTCCCAAAGTTTCACGGCAATCGGATAAACGGTGTGGTAATGCATGAAGGACATACAGACAGACATACATTCATTTTTATATATATAGATTATAATACATCTGCAAATATNATTATAAAATATTTTATTCTTTTGGTTTTTTAATGCTTTACATATTTATTATAATTTATAATTTTATTGAAGAATTTAAAAACCAAAAGATAGCTACTTGAGATTTAATATTTTATATTTTTGTATGTTTAAAAAAACTTGGAATTTGCTGATTAATTAGCTGAAAACTAACATTCTTTTAGTCAGGTTCTTAAATATTAGTTTTTATAATGTGGTTTTAGTTTTGGTAAATTAAAACTATACAACTGAAAAAAATACATCAGTGTTTAGTAACATATTATACCAGAAAATATGATGTTTAGTTTATTCATAAATATAACAATCTAAAAAAATTTGCACAGAATGTATTTGATAAATTAATTTAATGTTTCTAATGAACATGATACTTTATATTAAAAAAAACAGCAAATATCACAAAAGTTGTTAGATTTGATCGTAAAAAAAATTAAATAAAATAACTGTCTTTTTAACATTGAATAAATATAAAACAATGCTTTCTAGAAACAAAATTATACAAATGTCTTAAATATTTTCAGGCTTTATTAAAATTATCTGAAAATGTTTAGGAATTTTGTAATTTTGCTCAAAAACAGTATTTTATATCTTCTTTTTCAATTTGATATATATCATTTATTTAAACAAATCACTAACTTAAAAATAAACTTTACCTAATAAGTAAATAAAATAAAAGTTTTGCTAACTCATTTAAATCATTAACTGTAAAAATGCAATTTCTTTTATCTATTGTTTGCTTTAAAAATGATTTAAAGATTATTTTTGATAAATACAAGTTATTTCTAAAAGTACCATAACTTTTATTTCATTCTATAACTGAAACTGTTTTAATCTTTATTGCTTTGAAAATTTATTTATATAGTGTCTGTATCATTATACTTCTTCATATAACAAATACCTATCTTCTTAACTGATGTTATCTAATAAATAATTGTTTTGATTTTCTAACAAACATTTAAGTCATCTACTTTCAGCACAGTTAAAAATATATATAAAAATTCAATTTTTTTTTAGTGTATTTTTCAATATAAATATTCCAATTTGAAAAATCTTAGATTAAATCATACAATCATAATTAGCAAAAAAAAGTTGAAATAAAGTGATTAAACAAANCTACACAAGTTTGTATCTTCCATGTCTCAATGCTTTGTAACTCTTATTAAGCAAAAATGTGATGTTATTCCATTGTGAGATTCAGGATTTTAAGGATATTAAAATCCATTTATAAGAAAATTTTTAAATAACATCTGTCGCGATAGTTAGGAAAACTATTGCACCAGATATGGATCGAATGACGTTCTCTATCAACAAATGAATGAGAATTTTAACAGTCAGTTGCTGAATGATAACATCCAATTGTGAAAGGAGAGGAAAGCATTACATCAACAAAAGTCATTGTCAAACTCGCATCTGCAAAAGAAACCTTTGGTTCTAAACAACTGCCGATCACCTGACCACTTTCCCAGGCTAAACGCATAAAAGGGCGAGTCACCAACAGTTCTGTGCATTTGTCATAATGTTCCAATGAATTAATGTTTGGTCATAAGTGCTCCGATAAAAGTGGACGTCCGCCCAAAAAAGGAAATAAGAAGTCCCCAGAGAAGACACTCGCCATTCTTTCAACAGTGAATCCTCGTCAAGACAATAAAATGACGTCTTATCGACGATCAACAAAGAATTGAGGTATTTTGTTAGAAAACTGTAAACTCTCTCTCCGCATCCGAGAAAGTAGGTAGCCTCACAGCATAGAAAATAGAATAGCTTCGCGGCATAAAAGGTAGAATAGCCACTTCATTGTATAATTGTATGTTATCCTCATTTACTCACCTAATTTTGTGATATGCATGTATTAGATTTCTAGTTTTATTAAACTTTTATTTGTTGAGTTTAAAAACCTGTCTGACTGTCTATTGCTTGGAAACCAGACATCTCATCAACTTCCCCACCGTGCTCCCCACTCGATCAATTTAAAGACCCTGCTGTTTAAAGCCATCCAACGACCCTGTGAGCAGTTTTCACCAAACTGTTCCCAGTTTTACTCACACCATAATGATTTCAGAATCTTAACACATTGAACAAAGTTCAAAAAAATGTATTGTAAAGGCTCAGCAGATTAGATTATATATTTTAATAGCAAATTATTTTCTCAAAATCTGAGCTTCTGATATGTTTGTATGATCACTTATATTCCTAATAAATTACTTTTTGTTACAAAAATAAACAACTGTGCATTGTACTCTAAATTATTTTAAGTTTTTATTAGTAAACGAAATTCATTGCAAACAGGGCTGTACATTAAATCAAATGATGTCTGATTTATTATTTTTTGAAGTACAATATTTAAAATGTTTGTAATAATTATATATATTTAATTTTATAACAGTAGTAAATAAATGTATTGAAATTAGTTAGTATCAGTTTTTAAATATTTTTCATCTTATATAAACAAACATTCATGAACTCATTTTTTAGATTAATGCCAAATGATTGAAAACTATTTTCAGCTATAATAATGCTACTATTTATTAATTAGATGTTAAGTAATTTTTCCATTTTATTTCAATTTTGTAAGTGAAAATATTAAAAAGTGAATCAAACTTAATTGGTCCATTTTTTGGTATTTGTACAATTATGCATCACATGGTTCAAAAGTGACGATTATCATTTTAAACTGTGAACATAAGACACCTTTACGTCTAGTAAAAAATTAGTAATATGAAGTACATTTTAAAATCAAGAAAATATGATATTACATCAAAGAGATAAAAATATTAAAAAGATTCACTTACTTCAATAAAATTATTTCATTTTCAAGAATAATCTTGGCTTTATTAAATTCTAAATTATTTCTATCCAATTTCTCCATCATGCTACGAAGTTCTTCTTTTGCTTCATTTCCAGATATTTCAGACTTTCTTAATAATTCTTCTTGCTCTTTTCTGAAATAAAACATGCATATCGCATCAAACTAAAAAATTTTTAAAAAACTGTTTGACACACAAAATAAAATAGTGGAACAGGTTACAAAATTTACATAAATCTATAATGTAGATTCTATATTCTATTCTTTTGCTAATAAAGAATTCTGTGACAAAACAATTTATTAAAAATTTTTTCTAAAACCTAAGATAAATATCTCTCCAACAATTTACTGAAACACAAAATGAACAAGCATATTAAATAATATTAAAACAAAGCATAAAAACAAACCAAATCATGTAATTTGCTAAATTCATTATATCTTCGAAAAATGAACCATGTATTTCCTTCCATTGATACAACCACCTTATACACCTGAAATAAAATAAAACTTATTTTATAATATTATTTGAGCAATAAAAACTTTAAAAAATATTAATACAATATTTCTAGAATAATAAGACAAAATGAATTAATTTTAAAAAACCACATCTTTTATTTTTTTTATCAACTTTTTATAAGTACAGTAGAAGTTTGTTAATCTTTCACTCGATAATTCAGCATCCTCTGAAAAGTTACTGATGATCCAGATTTGTCCAATAATAATCCTACCAATATTCTCTAAATTGAAATTTGTTTGGACATGTTAGATTTAATATGCATTTTTTGTGTTCAATAATGTGTAATTGATGAATTTTCTTCTCATTGGTCAATGCAAGAACAACATACCTAAAAACAAGTTACATTTTATACTTTATACTTTTACTTATACCTTCCTTAAACTCAGAGCATGTATACATAGAATGTCAGGAAAATAATTACTATATGCACATGAATAAGCAAATGTTGAATTTGTGCAATAATGTGTTTATTAATAATTTTGCAGGTTTTTCAATAAATCTTAATAAAGTACAGTCACACATTGTACAGTACAATTAATATAAAATAATTTGTCATCAAAGTAGTAAGTTAAACCACTAACAAATAATTTTATATTAACTATAATTAGATGGTTAAAATATAGCCCAAATATTCTAGAATTTTAATGACTTGGTTATTTTATAATATTCAGATTTAGTTGTTTATTTATATATCTATAATGAATTTCTAACTCACTGACTACAATGAATTCATGTCATAACTGACAAAAATGATCCTTCCTTAAACCTGTTTTAAACTGCTTNTATTTTATACTTTATACTTTTACTTATACCTTCCTTAAACTCAGAGCATGTATACATAGAATGTCAGGAAAATAATTACTATATGCACATGAATAAGCAAATGTTGAATTTGTGCAATAATGTGTTTATTAATAATTTTGCAGGTTTTTCAATAAATCTTAATAAAGTACAGTCACACATTGTACAGTACAATTAATATAAAATAATTTGTCATCAAAGTAGTAAGTTAAACCACTAACAAATAATTTTATATTAACTATAATTAGATGGTTAAAATATAGCCCAAATATTCTAGAATTTTAATGACTTGGTTATTTTATAATATTCAGATTTAGTTGTTTATTTATATATCTATAATGAATTTCTAACTCACTGACTACAATGAATTCATGTCATAACTGACAAAAATGATCCTTCCTTAAACCTGTTTTAAACTGCTTTAGATAGACTGTTACAAGCATGTCGTCACATCTGTGTTTTCACGTGAAGCCAAAATAGAAAAACATATATTGAAAAGCTCAGTTTCATTTTTCTAGAAAATACTTAGTACTAATCAATATCTTGAAAATAAGAACATATTGATACACCTCATAAAAGATAATCATATTGGTAATATAAAGTGAATATTGTCTCAACTCAGTTATAGAAGCAGCACTAAATTTTTGTACAGACCTAAATTATTTATAAATTTGTCTAAAATTTTTATCTATACTGCAAACTTGTCTAATATTTATAAAATATCTGGAACTAAACATTCTTCTCATATGCAGTATTGAGGAATAATTTTATCAGATATTTTTTAAGTAACTTTTTGTTTACAAAACCTTATAAAAAGATATTTATGATTTGTGAGATATAACTTTAAAAAAAGAGTGATAAAAATAAGTAAACATTACATATGTATTGTTACAATTTTGAACTTGTAAATTTAATAAAATAATGTAATAAAATTAATTTTATTTTTCAATTATATAGATGTCTTTTATAGAATAGTTAGTAAAAAACCGATTTACTAACAATTGTGTTACAACAGTTATATACATCAAAAAGTTAATTTTTTACCTTTATACAATATTTATCATGCAGAATATAATATGGAATGTGTAATTGAGAAGTTGATGTATTCATAATAAGCTTGTTAACATACTGCCAAGTGAAATATATCTGATATTACTACCAAATTAATATTAATATATGATTAATTAATACTTATTTACATTATTAATGCAAGAAAACTTCAAATAGTAAATAATTGAAATTCTTATTAGTGTATAATGCAGCATTCCAAAACAAATATAGTTAGTTTTCTATTATTTAATTACATTATTGTTTCACACTGGCAATTCTAAAGGTGTAATGAAAGCAACTATCTCTGTTACAGCTTAATAACTAAAAAAATTAATTCAAAAATGAAAATATATAAACATACATTTTTCTTTATTAGCATAAAATGAATTTAGACATATATAAAGTTTGATATGATGTAACTTGGAACTAGTTGCAATCCTTGTGAAATATACTACCTTAAAGATTTTTCTTTCAAAATTATAAAGATATCTTTTTTAAAATTTAAAGAACATGATTTTATATAAGAAAAACCAAATTTGCATTTTATTGTGGTGCATGATTGAACTTAATTTTAACATTGTATTGAATGTTCTTGTGTATATATATATATACATACTATACATATACTATATATATATATATATATACATACATACATACTATATATATATATATACACATACAAGGTAGATAGTAAGGTTTATTACCAACTTAATAAAATGATCTTACTTGTTAAATGCATATAAAATAAATCAATATTATGTATATTTATATGATCTTGTCATATATATTTTTGTTGACAATAGAGTAAGATTCTAGGACTGTGTGAGGGAATGGGAACCCCCAAATTGTAGACCCCCTGTGCGATCAAATAATATCTAATGAACCACACCCCTACAGGCAACCCTTCACGAGATATAGCCCCAAAAATCGGGTCTTGCACAATAGTTTATTCAAAATATTTAAATATTATATATATATACATATAATATTCAAAATATTTAAATATTATATATATATATATATTAAAAGCAAAATGTTCTGTCTCCATTGAAACTGAAACCATCACTTTACAAAGAAGCAGTGCATAAGTAGGTCACACTAGGTCAACTTGTAGGGTCTAGAATTTGTTCCTCAAAAGGATCACCCATTAGCTTCCTCTGTGGATTCTGTTAAGTTTGATTTTTGAATAATAACCTTTGGTTATATACAGAATACAGACATACAGATTTAGTTTTTATATTATTATTATTAATTTTTATCTCTATTTTATATATTAAAAGCAAAATGTTTGGTCAATGACACAGATAACATAAATTTAAAAGTTAATTTGATTTACAATTTGAAAATTTCAAAACAACTTTTAAATGATTTTTAGAAACATTTTAATTTTGGTTTTGGTATAAAGGCCAGAGTTTCAATTATTATTTTATTACTTTTAAATTTAATTATTATTTTTAGTTTTAATTTATTTAGTATTAATTTAGTTTGTTTTTATAATTATTTTTAATAATTATTTATTTATTATTATTTGTTTAATTTTGCCTATATTCGTTGAACCCTTAATTACAAGTTTTTTAATTAATTGCAATTCTTTTCTTTTTTATGACATAACTATAAAAGTTGTTTCAGAGTTGTTTTCCACAAAAGATAATCAAATTCAAATTTATTTAAATTTTTTTTGTAACATCATTAATTTTTATTTTATAAATTTGCCTGCTTTTTTTAAAAAAGTTTAATTTTAAGCGAGTTAACATTAATTGAACTATCAGGCTATCTAGTTATTTAATAAAATTAAAATATGTATTTCCAAGACAAATTTTAAGATTATTAATTTTTAAAAATTTAATAAAGTTTTAAACAGCTACACACACCAAATATTAAAAGAAAAAAAATTACATATATGGCATTACGAAAAAATAATTTATTTTGTGAGTACTTTCAACAACATAACTATCCTCTTCAGCAGGGCTGTGGAGTCGGAGTCGTGGAGTTTTGGTGTTTTGGCCAGAGTCAAAGTCATAAAAAAATCCACTGACTCTGACTCCCTTTTTACTTACCAACTTGTTATGTATATGAAATGGAGTCGAAGTCGGATGGTAAGGAAAAGTCGGAGTCGGTAGATTTTTACGCAACTCCACAGTCCTGCTCTTCAGGCAGAATTGTTAGTAGAGATTCCACAGAACAAGACATTTGAATTCAAGAAAAAGAATCCAAACATCCAAACATATAGATGTTCGACAGAGAGTGGTATACGTTATCGTTTTTTTTTTTTTTTAAATTTACATAATGATTTCTTAAAATGTTTCCTGCAAATTCTCTTCTGACAAAAAGACAGTTTTTTTTTAATTTTTCAAGTTTCAAACTTAATCTTAAAATATTTCATTTGATTTTTTCATGACAATGTTTTAACATTATTATGTAAATTTTAATAATACAGGTATACCTCAACTTACGTCGTTTCGAGTTATGTCATTCCCGATTATACGTCATTTGCCAAAAAAGTATATGGAAAAGTAAAAATCAAGAAGTTTAAGTCATTTTATTCGACTTTATGTCTGTCCGCCACAAATATTGAAGTCATAATATCACTAGAAAAGCATTTAAAGCACATAAAATAATATTAAAATATATACATTTACAAGTATGTACTGTATTTGCACCACAAGCATTCATAAATTTAGATTACTTTTTTCTGTACTATATTAAAAACTAAAATTTATTTGTTTGTAAGCTTAAAATAGATCCTTATTAACCATACATTATTAAAAATGCATTAATAAACAAAATACAGAACTGGAATTGGCAATTTATGGTTTAGCCTAGTGACAAGTAAATTCGACTTACGTCATTCTCCTGGAACCAATTACCGACGTAAGGCGAGGTATACCTGTAAATTTTGTTTTCCTCTTTTTTTCTAATAAGATTTCAAACTAATCTCATCAGATGGTTAGGATTATTTCAAGTTTTGCAGATTTGCAGAAAACAGAAATCAAAATATAAGAAATATTGATATAATAAATAATTATTTTATTTATATTTTGTCTTAGAATAATAATAAATTATTCTAAGACAAAATATAGTGAGATATAAATGTTATGACAAATGACAAGAATGACACGTCAATTAGGATTTATGA